ACAAACATAAAGGAACACATGGAGACCTTAAAGGAAGTGTTTATAAGACTGGTGCAAAACAAATTAGAGTTGAAATTAGATAAGTGTGAATTTTTTAAAAGCAGCGTTAAATATTTAGGATTTGTGGTGGATAGTAAAGGCGTTAGGGCTGATGAAAAAGGGTTAGAAGCGGTTAAATCCTTTCCAATACCAAACAAAATTCAGGGAGTACAAAGTTTCCTAGGGTTATGCTCCTACTTCAGGAGGTTCATTTTAAACTTTTCTATATTAGCTAAACCCTTATATGATTTATTGAAAAAAGATAAGAAATTCAAGTTTGGAGAAGAGGAGTTTAAGTGTTTTAATATGTTAAAAGATAAATTGTTAGAGGCGCCAGTACTATCAATATATAATTACAAAGAAGAAATAGAACTACATTGTGATGCCAGCGCAGTGGGATTTGGGGCTGTTTTATTTCAAAAAAAAGAAGATAGGAAATTACACCCGATTTTTTATTTTTCTAAAAGAACAACCGAAGTAGAGTCTAAATATCATAGTTTTGAGTTAGAAACGCTAGCCATCATTTACGCATTACGCAGATTTCGTATATATCTGCAGGGAAAACGATTTAAAATAATGACAGATTGCAACTCTTTAACTTTAACGCTTAACAAAATAGATTTAAATCCGAGAATTGCTAGATGGGCGTTAGAACTACAAAATTACGATTTTGAGTTAGTGCATAGATCGGGCAAGCAAATGCAACATGTGGATGCGTTAAGCAGATGTTATGAGGACATTTTAGTTATTGAATCCAATAGTTTTGAGGACAATTTAGTTATTTGCCAAAGCAAAGATGACAAACTGGTAGATATTAGAAAGATGTTAGAAAAAGAAGAGCACAAGCTATTCGAAATGAGAAATGGGGTCATTTACAGAAAAACAAATGATGGCAGATTAGTTTTTTATGTACCAAAGGATATGGAAGAACATGTACTTTACAAATATCATGATGAGTTGGGACATGCTGGGAGAGATAAGATGATCGATGCCATTGGAAAGAGTTACTGGTTCCCATATATTAAGGAAAAAGCAATAAAGCATATAGGGAATTGTTTAAAATGCATTGCCTTCGCCCCCAAGACGGGTAAGAGTGAAGGACTATTACATAGCATACCGAAAGGAAACAAACCGTGGGAGATGATCCATATAGACCATTATGGACCAATTAATGCAGGAAGGGCTAATAAATATATATTGGCGGTGGTTGACGGATTTTCAAAATTTGTTAGACTATATACAGCAAAGACAACAAGTACGAAAGAAGCGATTAAGGCATTAAAAGATTATTTCAGAGCGTATAGTAGACCTAAGTTCATTGTATCGGACAGAGGGAGTTGTTTTACTGCAAAAGAGTTTGATGAATTTTTAAAAAATGAGGGAGTAACGCATATTAAAATAGCAACGGGTTGTCCGCAAGCAAATGGTCAGGTGGAAAGGTTGAATAGAGACTTGGGTCCGATGATGGCAAAAATGGCGGAGCCAGAAAATGGTTTACATTGGGATGTTATTATAGAAAATGTTGAATATGCAATAAACAACACACAACACAAAAGCATAAAGAAATTTCCAAGCGAAATGTTATTCGGATTACAACAGAAAGGAAAAGTTGTTGATGAATTAAAAGAAAAATTAGAAGAGTTTACACAGGTGAACACGTGTGATAAAAGAAATTTAGAAAATATAAGAAAGAGTGGAGAAATATATCAAAAAGAAGCTCAAATCAGAAATGAAGAGCGGATTAATAAAAAGAAGAAAGTATCAGTAGAATATAAAATAGGTGACTATGTCATGGTAAAAAATTTTGATAGCACACCAGGAGTTTCAAAAAAGTTAATACCAAGATATAAAGGGCCTTATAGTATAGAAAAGATTTTAAAAAATGATAGATACTTGTTAAAGGATGTAGAAGGCTTTCAATTATCTCGCAACCCGTACGTTGGTATCTGGAATAGCCAAAACTTTAAGCATTGGATGCGAAAATAGGCAATAAGCATTAGTTATAAAGATAGATACACATATAAAAGACAGAGATCGGGAGCTCTCTTTGTCAGGATGGCCGAGTTGTAATAGGATAAGAGCATCATTGGTAACCCTAGCCAGGGTATTATAGTGTCACTATCTATGTTAATTATAACAGTACGATAAGTAAATATCGATAAAGAAAAGCGGCTGCAGAGAAGAAGTGGAAGGCAGTCTCTCTACAGTACTAGCAGTAAGAAGACGTGTTGTTAAAAATAAAAAGGCAACCCGAACATAAGTTAAATCAACGAAGAAAATCATACTATTACAATATATAAAATCAATATGCTCCAAGCGTAGGCTAGGCTCTTCCATACGAGCTGATGATAAATGACAGTGAAACATAGTTCTTCGAAATTAATTGAGCGCTAGACACCAGAAACTATTGAAGCTGCCTAACAAGGGAATACTTTGTTAGACCTGACAAAAATACAGCTCTCTATTATGGCCCCATAAAACTAAACATGCAACAGGGTAATCAAAATTCTTGGCTTTCGATTGGACAACATAAATCAAGAGACTTTTAGATGTGGGCCCCGCCTTTTCCTAATATCATCGATCAGCGTTTCAGCTGCAGCTAAACTTAAGACTTCTATTTAAATCATTTGCATTTTGATTTTTTTTGCCCACTCACTCTCTTTCTCCTCTCTCGCTCTGCATGTGGGCCATTAACCCAGTTTGCATGTGGTTGAAACACGCCCAGAACAAACCAAATAATATGTATAATAAATAAACCAGAGCCAAAAGAAAGCAAAGACAAATACAACATGGTCAACAGGGCCGGCTAGATGCAAGCCAAACTTGCAAATACAAAAATTCTTACCAGCTGGTCCAGAGCTCATTTTTGGTAAAAGACAAAAAAAAAAAAAAAGAAAAAAGTTCGCTTAGGCGGAATACCATATATGAGAAATGTTTGTCGCTGGGTCAATGACACGCGACTCCGGCTCAGTGACATTGCGGCTTTTGACAAATGGACGAGCCGTGACTCTGGCTGTGACTGCGGCTGTTTAGCGGGTGACAAGCTAACGGTCCAGCGGGCAGACGGGCAGTCGAGCAGCTCCGGCAGAGATATTGTTGCGTCAATATTGATTTGCAAAAGAGGCGAGCAAATATTTGCCTAAGCACGAGCTGTGTTCGGTTCAGGTTCTCTGGTTCAGGTTCTGGTTCTGTTTCGGGCTCTTGAGATAATTATGCTGAAGTGAAAAGCTGAAAATAGTATGCTTAAATGGGCTTGGCTCTCACTTTTCAGCTGAAGCCTAGCCAAGTTGCTCAGAAATTAGATGCTTGACCGCATTCTTAGACCTTGACATATGCAGCTAGCATGTAGGCACTTGATCTATGTCGCCTGATTAAATAAAACGCATTTTTCTTGCAGCTGACAACGCTTCTACTGGCCGCTTTGGTCGCTGGCCAAGCATCGGATGGCGTCGAGTAAGTAGCTCAACTCTATATAGAAATTTCTATTAACCAACTGCCTTGCCCCGCCTTGCCTTGCCTTGCCTTGCCACAACTAAGTAGAAGTTGCAGCACGCGGCTTTGTATTGTGACTAAAAATATTAAAATTTAAAATAATAAACTGTGACTAAGCCTCTCATTATCAGTACATTGCAAATTCCTAATCCCAACAGCATTAGTTTACTAATAATACCAATACGAAGAGACCAAAAACAAACCTAACTTTCGTTTGCAGAATACAAAAGCAAAGGCTGGTCAAATTTCCCGAGGAGTTTGATCCGAATGTGGCGCCGCCAACGTCCGACAAGGCGGACGAGGCCAAGCGCATACTCGACCAGATTGCCAAGGTGAACGAGGCCTTTGGCTACGTGAAGAAGAGGCCAGAGCCAAAGCTGCCGCCCATACTCGACTCCAGTCAGTATCTGTTTCCCAAGCCCGCCCAGCAGCCTTTCCACGCCCAGCAGCATCATTTCGCGGGCAGCAATGGGCAGACCCTGCTGGAGCCCTCCATACGCGCTGTCAAGCTGACAAGACATGTCTCGGATTCATATAATGTGCCGCCCAAGCTGCGCACAAGCTTAAGTAGCGCCTCCAGCGAGGAACAGCAGCAGAAGCAGCAGCAGCGGCAGCAGCTATATTTCCGGCCCAATCAGGTGCAGCTGCCACAGCCCAGCTCGGAACAGGAGGCAGAGCAGCTGCCCGCCCACTTTGTCATACCCGTGCATCTGTACAAGCTGAACAAGGAGCAGTATTTGAGGGAACATGCACCGCAAGAGTATCGTGTCAAGGGCTACAAGATCATTGGCGATGTGGACAGCTTCTATGGCAAGGCCAAGGCTATGCTGCACGATAAATCCAAGAAGCAGGGCCAGACAACGCCCAAATACCATTTGTTCTTTCTGCCCAGGGAGCTGGCCTTGAACGAGGATGGCACGCCCAAGCGCGGCAAACCGACATCGACAAGCACAACCACGACGAGTGGCACGACCAAGATGCCCACATCGAGCAAGGAATCTCGTTTGGATTCGCGTGAGAAGCAAACGAATAGGCCACAGTCACAGCCTTCACGTATGCCCGCCGTCGTCGCCCCAGATGTCAATGGCAATCGCAAACGGATAAGTGTTGGCAGCACCTCCAAGCCGCTGCGTGGCAGCGGCAAGGATGCGGAACAAGCACTGCCCATTGGCGGCCTGCACGCCAGTTCAGGCAGCATCAAGGTGACCTCTGCACCAAGCCACATTAGCTCGGCAGATCAGTTATCCACATTGCCACCGGCTGGCGGACTGCTGCCCAATCGCAATAGACTGAGTGTCTTCCGCGTGCCCAACGTAAATCTGGCCGAGATGCAAAATCAGACCTCGACAGCTATCAAGAACGCCTTTCAGAATATATTCAAAATGCCCTTCCGCACGCCCGTTGCCACGCCGGGGGCAGCGGCCGCCCAACCAGTTATGCTGCAGAGCGGACCACAACAGACAACTCACCTTCAAAGTAGCGACTCGCTGCAGGATAGCCAGGATGATTACAAGTGGGATGATGAGCGGGAAGGTGCTGGCGACGGCGACAACGATACCGTCGAGCAATTGGAGAACACCGCCGCCGAGCAACAGGATGGCAATGCCGCTGCGGAGAAGCATCTGTTTGCGCACAAAGTCCAGCCACTGATGAACACCATCGGCACAGTGGCCACTGCCCATCAGGACACGCAAAAGCAGGCGTTGCGTGAGGGCGGCATCATTATTCAGCGCCTGAAGGTGCGCAAGGGCGGCATTGCGATCGCGGGGCCCGGAGGCGTGGCTACGGCGGGCAGCGGCGGTACAGCGATTGTGGGCCCCGGCGGCTATGCCCTGACACACCCGCGCAGCCTGACGATTGCAGGGCCCGGCGCCAAAGTCATTTCCATACCTGCCGATGTTGATTTAAAGGATGCACTGCAACGCACAGACGTAGAGGCGAAGAGTTTTCCACGCGAGGGCAAAGTGGTGGCCACTGGACCCACCGTTTACTATGCACCGCCAACAGGCACTTTTACCGCGGACAACGAGGAGGAGCAGGAGTTTGACGCTTAAGTTGCAGTTGCTTTGGCCGGGCTTAACTGTAAACTCAATTAGGAAATTTTAGCAACCCTGTGCCTCGACACCGTTCGATAACTTTCGATAATCGATCTGCAGGGCTGCCAGACAGTTAAGATATGCGGCTGCCGTTAGCTATGTTCGATTTTAAACCTAATGACTGTTAGTATTTTTGTATAGCGCCTAAGTATTGGTAATAAATGTTTGTATTTGTAATTTGAGCATTGCTTTCATATCTGTATGCATATGTATATATTTGAATTTAATTGTTGCCCTGCCACGCCCACTAACATCACAAACAAACGCTTTGCATGCACTGAATGGTTTCATGAGCTTTAAGACTAATCCCAATTTGAGCTGTATATATATTACGACACTAACTGCTATCCTCAACTCTCTTACATTTCCTATGACAACTCCTTTTCCTCAACTATTCTAATCGCAATCTAATCAAGTGCGAGCACGTACTGGCAAACCACAAGCATTGAGACGTGGCCACTGCGCAGTCGACTGCAGCCTTTTTTGAACTATGTGGCGCCAGCTGCGTCACAGAAGTTAACTGCTGCAACAGCTATGGATAATGTTCTGACACCCTATGGAGCCTACCAAGCTACACAGTCGCAGCCAGAGAAGTTTACAGCAGCGAAAGAAACTGAAACTACAAAACAAGCCCAATTTGAAACTCTAACGCCCTATGGCGCCTTGCAAGCCACCACACATGGCAACCTTTTGCTGATAAGCTCACCATACTACGCTGCCTACAGTCTGCCACTTGCTTATGTGGCGCCATCTGTGGACGCATCCGCTGCAACGCCCAGTACAACAACCACCAGCACAGCGAAGCCCGCAACCGCAGATGATATTGAAGTTGCCAAAGAACCAGAAGAAGAAGACACAATTGAAACATTGCAAAAACTGAGATCGAATACACAAACCGACGACGATCTAAAAAGCGATGCCCGCCTACGCGCAGCCGTTAGCCGAATCAATACGGACTATGTGATAGAAGAGATTGTGGCCGTGCCGGGCAAGCATGTGCTGTCGTCCAGCAGCCAGGTCACAGCTGGCGCTCGCTCTGCCAAGCAGCAGTTGAAGAAGGCAACAGCCGCCAAACTGGGCAAGGGCAGCGGCAAACTGCGTTCGCCGCCAGTCAACGTGGAAGCCACGGGACGCACCAGCAGCAGCAGCTCAAGCAATTTTCCACAAATACCCTTCGGCAGCTATTTTCTGCCCTACAGTCCCATACGGGCGCAGGCCATACAGGGACGCAAGCAGGCGGCGCTTATACTTGAGCCGCACTCCAAGGCAGTGGTTGGCAATGGCGGCACAGCCATATCCACGCCCATCTCCAAGGCGCTGCTCAAGAAGGGTGTGCCCACGAACGTGTACTTCAATCCGGAATCGGTGGCCATTGCGGGCGTGGGCGGCAAAGCGCATGCAGCGGCCGACCTGGAACTCGACTTGTTCAACTGAAGTGGCGACTGCCCACTGGAGGCATTTCTCCTCCAGCTAAGTAGTTTAGTGTGTTCCTATGTTAAGAGCAGTTGGGCCTGTCTGTCTATCCCAGCTCTAGGTGTAAATAAAGTTGTAGTAAACTATCTGCCTTTCTTCACTTCGTCTAGTCGCTTTCTAATCCCCCGTAGAAATTGTTGCCCTACTGCTATCCCACGCTTTGTCCATACCGCGCACCACGCACAGTCCCCCACCCTCTCAGGCAAATGCCGCTCTCCATTTCATCATAGCACTATAACCAACTCTATAAACCCTAGACACAGATCGGCTGCGAGAGCAGGCCCGCTGATCTTCGAGGACCAACTGCCCTACTATGGCGGCCTGAGTGGCCAGCTGCTGCTGCTGCAACCGCAGCAGGACGGCAGCATTCGCAGCAGCGTCTTGCAGCGCCAGCAGCAGCCGCAGCTGCGCGGCATTCCACGGGATGCGGACGACACCATTTCCATATCGGCCGCCAGTTTGTCAGCTGTGGCCAACGACATCCCGATCTCGACCAGCGGCAGCAATTTCAATCGCATTCAAGAGGCGGCCGCTCGTCTGGTTGCCATACAGGAGCTGGCCAAGCGGAAGGGCGCCTTCAGCGAGGAGGACAACAAGGTCTATGCCAACAGTCTGCTGGAGCTGGGCCAGGCGGCCACAGCCTTGGCGCTGCTGCAGCAGAATGGGCAGATCAAGGACTTCAGCGTGCTGCTGCAGCCGGAGCTGTTTGGTGCACCACAAAAACAGCCCTCCAATCTGGGCCTGGAGGCCAACAATCCGGCGGAGCAGAAGATCGATGACCACAAGCACGAAGAGGTGACCGAGCAGCAGCTGTCACCCGAAGACATACTGCCACCCAACGATGATCACTTCGAGGATGTCAACGACAGCGTGGCCGTATTGACGCCCAAAAAGGATGCAGCCGTGGCCGAAGCCAAGCCCGTGGGTAAGTGTGTCCAGCCAGTGGTGAGCTTGGACGCATGGATAATCTCTATATACCATTTGCTGCCTTAGGTCTCTCCATAGCCGGCGAGGGCGGCGTCGCCTCCTCCAAGCCCAATGCGGTCGCACTCTCTGGACGCAACGGCCTGGCGGTGGCCTCACCCAAGGCAACAGCCATTGCCGGCGTAACGCCCGAGGAAGCAGCGGCATTTAGCATAACGCTGCCATCACGCAACCAGCTCGTCATCAAGACGCCCAATTCCGCTGGCGACGACTACGACTACGGCGACGTGCCGCTGGCTGTGTCCAGTTTTCCGCGCGTACGCGAGACGCCGCAACGTGCCGACGCTCTGGTGGACAAATGGCGTGTAGCCATTGCCGAGGAGTATGCCGCCAGATCCAGGCAGACGCAGACGCAGCCAAAGCTGGTCATACGAGCTGCGCCCAAGCGGCGTCTGCACCATGAATAGAGAGTGGAGTGGAGAGCGCTGCATCCGCTGCAGCCAAGAACATGATATTTTCTGTGTACATCAAATTGGCAATAAAAAAAATTTGCGTATCAAATTGAATTCGCGGCCATTGAACCGTTTGGATTCAGATTTTCCGTAGCCTGCCAGCAGGCGCAGCAGCAAGGAGGGCGGGAAGCTGGGGGCCAGTTGAGATGCATATCTAATGGGCTGCAGGCTGTGATTACATTTTAGAACGAAATAAATTTTTAGAAAAATAAAAATAAATAAGGGAGTAAAGACAGAGAGCGGAGCCGAGCAACAAGATATAAGATATAAGTACGCAGGCAAGCGCATATCTTGATTAATCTTTTCCGCCAGCAGGCGGTGCAGGCAGGCAGGCAGGCAGGCAGGCTGGCAGCATAAAAATAAATCTAGCCAATGGGCCAGGCGCTGGCCAGCTGGCGGGGGGACCGAGCTAGGCGCAGTTAAATGCAATGCACAATGTATTCAATTTGCACCTGAACCAGTTTCCCAGTTTCTAGCCATGGCCAAAGACGAAGACGAAGACGTAGACGACGCCGAAGCCCAAGTCAGAGACAGAGCCAAAGCCAGTGCCAGGGCTCCCATCATGGTCGTGTGAGCGGCTGTCAATGCGGTTGCTGCTTGACTTCTATTACAATGCAGGTTTAACAAACTCAGCCAGAGCTCACAGCTTGACCAAGACCAAAACCAAAACCAAAACCAAAACCAAGAGCTAGTCCAAGCCGAAGACCAAGAGGCATGCAGCACGTACAACAACATCTACGTTGACCATCTGCCGCAGCCAGAACCTGGTAGCTGTTGGAAACCAGAACCCTCCTGCAAGTGCAAAACGAGTACGAATAGTGAGTGCGAATGTGAGTGTGAGTGTGAGTGCGAATGTGAGTGTGAGTGTGAGTGTATGTGGCATGAGTGCTTGTTATTGTTGTTTTTGTCGCTTTTGCTTAGCCAACTTTGGTCATTTGCCGCCTGCTTTGCGTGTGCTCCTTTTGGCTATCTGGCTGCGCACAGTTCCCCTCTATAACCCCCCATCCCCAGCACTCCTCTTTATTCCTGCGGGAAGCTGCAACATTTTCAGCTTGTTTTTCAGCTTTGTCGTTCTCTTCTTCTTCGTCAACGGGCTGTGATCTCTTTGTTCTTGCGCTAGGTCAGTTAGGCACCGGCACATTATAAAAGGCCCATCGCAGCCAGCATTGGCCACCAGTTTCCTTGAAGTGGTCGCCGTGTCAAGACTGAAGACGTAGACCACCGCCAACCAAACCACACTCAGCCACCACAGTTCTAGCCAAAATTTGTGCCAAGTTCAAGCAGCTCTTGTGCTCCATTTCATATAAGTTAGCTTTGTTTTGTGATCCGGATTAAAGTGCGCTCAGGTTTTTTCGAAAGTCCCACCACACATAGAACTGAGCTAGACGCAGCTGCCATCAGGTAAGTTCACAAATCTTAATGTGCTTTTATGTCAAGAGTTCGTGCCCTAAGCCAACATTTCGCTGAGCGTTTAGAAAGTCATCTGCCACCATAAATTTGGCACGCTGGGCGTGCGTCAGGCATAGGAAAGCGAAAATAAGAACTGAGCTGCTTGTTAAACTCTTTTTACTATTGTCGTTAAATTAAAGAAATTAGCTGTCCCAGTAGCTGATAAAACTGTCTAGATAACTAGAGATCTCTTTGATAGGCACAAATTATAAGTTAATTGAGGACAATTGAAGTAAAGCAAATTTGATCGCAAGTGTTTATAATTATTATTGATATGAAAATGATTTCCAGATGCTAATTAAAATTAAATAAATTGTATTACGTTCTTTTATATAGTTTATATATATTAATACTCCAAAACATATTACGTTTAAATAATCGTGTCTGATTTTTAGAGACCGGAAGCAGTTAAGAATTTAATCGCTGACTAGTTGACTAGCATTATAATTCACTCTTACGCTCAGCCATTTAATATATGTGGTAAATTTAGCCTGTTGAATATTTTTCAATAGATATTTTCTGTTATAAATAATACCATTTGACTTTATTTGCCTATTTTAACAATTATGATAAACAACCACAATCTTATGTCGCCTTTTGCAAGACTATTCAAAATATTTGCTTTCATTAATCATTGGCTTCATTAAGCTGCTGAAAATAATTGAAAACCTCAAATCCGTTGACTATTAGACAGGAAATATCAACACTTCTATCGCCTTTTAATATGAATCTAAGCAGCACATACGACACATGCTAGCTTAAAGAAATCCTTTCCTTGCCCCTTCCTGTATGCTTTTTAGTCACAAAATAGTTTTCAATAAATTATCTTAACATGTAACTGGAGTCTACTCTATTATTATTACATTTGTCATGATAATTGTAATGCGTTGTAGAAAATATCTTCCATATATATATTTATTCTTCTCGGCATTCTATCAATTCTTGTTCAATATCAACAGCCGAGTTGGTCTAGCCATATCCGTTTGTCCGTCTGCCTGCTTCTTTCCAAATGTCCGTTTTTGTGTTGCAGACATAACATATTAAACGTACCAATATGTCATATAGCTGCCATATAAATGAACTGATATGAAGCTCTTATAAATATATATATGTGTATCTATAAAATCTGTATGGAAAGAATCGGTCTAAAAGGGGCAAAAAAGGGTTTTTGTGACGGAAAGATATTCTATTTTTAGATATAATGAACACGCACAGCAATTTTGAGCTCCACAATGCTCGCCCGATACGACGCATGTCTACCAGGATAGTTATTTTTTACATTTGTCTTTAACTTCTGTTAAAAACAACTTTTAGTTCGGCTTGAGCACAAAATTGGTTTCCATTACAATTAGTGGTTGCAATCTTTTCATTTCGCAATTATGTTATGGTAAGCTGAGTTTCCAGAAAACACGCCCTAAGCATTCCACAAACCTCTGAACTATGCGCAACTTCTTCAACGCTGCAATTTCTAAATTGCTTGTAAATGGCAGGAGAACGGAAAGAAAGGGGCGGCAGGGGGGTAACTTTAAATAGAATATGCGCGAGTAATAAAACCTGGGGGGAATTTGATGCCCTCAGATATGATCGGAAAACCAGTTATTAGCCGCGCGCACAATCAAAAGAGTTGGCCAAGAACTTGGCCCCTGGCAATTGTAGCCGGATTGCAGCCAGTCTCGGTGGTACTTTATGTGTACACCAGAAGTGGCTGCTTCGGAGCTTTTCCAAGAGCCAATCAAACAGCAAACCGGTTAATAGTCGCATCCTGTGGCAGACACACACACACACACAAGCAGACAATCGCAATTATAAAGTTTAAATTTAGAATGGACTTTGGTTGGCCAACTATAAATAGCATAGGCCATCGTTGGCCATACCAGTTTGCAGCCCGACGCGGGCCAGGAGCATAGACAACTGCAGCTAAAAAGGCTTTGTTTTATCGCCCCTCCCCCCTCTACTTAGCAACATGTTCATCTTAGCGCTGTTCTGCTTGCTGGCAGTGGGTAGCCAGGCGAAGCCGCTGCAGCCGGTCGTGGAGCCAGCCCAGCATATTGTCATTGTGACGCCGCAGGCGCAGGTGCATCTGGAGCCAGCGTTGCGCTACGTGCATGGCCTGTCGCCACTGGCGCGCGTCTCCGGGCCGCATCATGAGGAGACCATTGTCTATGTGCCTGCTGGCGCAACGGCCTCTGTGGTGCCCACCGTCAGCGATGCCGTGTCCACCGGCCGTGCCAGCAATCCAGCCAAGCAATCCGAGGGTTTCCCCCAGAACATCAATCAAATCCAGCAACAGGCACAGCAGGCCGTTGAGATAGCAAGCGGTCAATTTGGTGAGGCTGCCTCTGCAGCTGCTGCTGCCGGCGCTGGCTTTTTTCCCGGCTTCTTCCCATCCTCCGATGCGAGCAACAAAAACGATGAGAAACTGAAGAGCGAGAAGATCGAACTGATTGAAACACCTGCCAATACCCAACCACTGCTAGCTGCCACCGAGGCGCGTCATTTCTACAGTCTGCCCCAGGTGTATCACACTCCCGTCGTCGATGTGGTGCATGCCCCCGTCTATTCGTGGCCGATTTCAGCCATTCGCGCACGCAGCATTCAAACCGAGGAAGCCCCCATCCAAGCCCTGCAACAGCTGCCCGAGGAGAAGCCAGCGGCAGAGCTGCCAGAGGCTCAGCCATTGCTTAAGGAGCAGAAGCAGCCAGAGCAGTCGGAACAGCCATTGGAGCAGCTGGCACAGACCATCGTTCCTGCAGCCGTCGAGGCCAGTGAATTGAAGGCTGAAATTGCAGCACGTCAGCTGGAGGAAAGCAATGCCATCAAGCCGGAGCAGCCAAGCGCCGAGATTGCCAAGGAGACGCTTAAGGAGGCCATCAAGGAGGCCATTCAGGAATCCAGAAAGGAGGCCATCCAGGAAACCACCAAGGAGGCAATCAAGGAAGCCGCTCTGGAGGCCAAGAAGGAAATCATTCTGGAGGCCAAAAAGGAAGCCATCCAGGAGGCCAGAAAGGAAGCCATCCAGGAAGCCGTCCAAGAGGTCAGAAAGGAAGCTGCCCAGGAGGCCAGAAAGGAAGCCACTCAGGAGGCCAGAAAGGAAGACAGTCAAGAGCCCTACCTAGAGGCCCGCAAGGAGGCCAGCAGCGAGCCCATTCAGGAGCTCATCAAGGAGCCCTTCAAGGAGGCCCTTAAGAGTGCCAGCCTAGATGGCATCAAGCAGCCTCTCAAGGAGGCCAGCAATGAAGCCACCCAGCCAGAACGTGAGTACTCCCTGAATATTACTTGAACTAGTTGTTGATTTTCTTATTTTTTTACTAGCCAAACTGCAGGAGGAGCAGCCACTGATCAAGGCCATTCCCGTTGCCGATGCCGCGGCCTTGCCTGAACCACAGCCGCAGTTGCAGTTGCAGGCACAGGCCGAGGCTCAGCCAGCCATTGCACAGGCGCCAGAGGCCTAAGTAGGCACGACCACAAATGCAATTCAAACACACCATATCAGATCACATCAGACACACACATACACGCACACGCACACTCATACACATATTCTATGGGCAACTTTGGTATTCTACAACTCGATCTGTTCCGTGCCTAGGCTCTGGCCAGGCCGTGGGTTAATACATTTAGTTACTAACACAGTCACAGAGAAACGATTTCCGACTTCCGACATTAATTAACAGCATAAAAGGCGTCAAGAAAATAATAAAAAAAAAAAAGAATTAAATAAAAATAAAACAAAACAAACATCTACATGCATATACGTTCATTCATAGCAAACATCATCGAGAACACGTTCATAATCATCATCATCATTCATTATATTCATAACCATAACAATTGAAAATGTAAAACAGAACAATAAAAAAAGTGAATGTAAAATGTAAAATGCTGCTAACTTTAGTTCACTAGTTGTTTGTGGGGGGGATGAGGCGTAGGTATTAAACAAAAGACTTGGACAACGAACTTGCATATGAGCTTGAAGCTGCGTGCGACTGTATACTGCACAAGCAAGATGATATCAAAAGACTTTGGCAACGAACTTTAACGTGCAATATGGAATGGCAGATGCCTCCAAATATATAAGTATGCACATCTTTTAATCCTTAGTATTCCAGCAGCTAACACTATTCCAGATCAATATAAGCTTTCAGTAAAGTAAGTATTTATTTATATATAACAAGAGAATTGTTGTCTGATTTAGATGCCAAATTAATCTAGAGGCCAAGCCATGTACAAAGAGCTAAGTCTCTTGAAAATCGGTTGAGTTTTGACCTAGCTATGGGAGTGGGAAATTTCGACCTATGTCTAAAACGGATATTTTCCACATGAATTTCGACCAAAAATAATGTTGTCAGATTTGTATGCCAAATTGAACTAGAGGTCAATTCATGGACAAAACGTCAAGCTTTATGAAAATCGGTTGAGATTTGACCGAGTTATGGGAGTGCGAAGTTTCGACCTATGTCCACATAGGATATTTTAGGGTACCTTTTCAACATACATACATACATGCATACATGCATAAAAGTATACATGCATGCATGCAAACAAACATACACGCATTTATACATACATACATGCATTCATACATACATACATACATGCATGCATGTATACATGCACACATGCGTACATGCATGCATGCATACATAGAATGTATATGCATGTGATGCATCTATATACGCAGTGAATGTCTTCGAGTTCAAATCATTTAGCATGAGTCTAATAAGTAAGGATTTATTTTGAATAATATGACGAAACGTTTTTGATGACCTGTTTGCTTAACATTTGTAGTAATATATAACTTATAAGAACTTGTTAAAGCTGTTGCCCCACAAATACTTGGGATTAGCCTGACCCCAAATCGATAGATATATATGTATATGCAATATAGATACCACTTGTGATTATGCAATTTGCCGAACCCGTAAACGCGTCCCAGTAATTCGCCGCAGCATAAAAATATTGCGCATATTACACAGAGTTAAACATAAATCGCGCTCCACGCACGGCGACGCATACTAAGTACCTGCGGAGACGTGCCCAGCCATAAGCTGGCCAAAATGCGGGCGCCTCTTCACGTTACAGTTACAATAGCCGTGGAGCGTGGCCTTTATTGCTGGTCAATCGCTAAGCTAAACACCAAAGTAAATACCAAATAAATAAATATAATATCTCTCATATTTCAGTCGATTCGCAGTCCAATCCTCGCCCACAACTAATCAGGCCTCTTGCTGTTGTGGGGGCACTTGAGTTGCCTTCGGATCTTCAGCGCTTCGCGTGCTTACGGCCTGCTGCGTGGTTAGCTCTTCTTTGCGCACGGGTCGACTGGTGTCCGTGTAGCGGTAAATGGAGAAGAATGTTTGTATGCGCTGTATTATGTTCTCCAGCAGGGGTGGAAACTTCTGCTCCACGCCATCGCCATAGATCCTGATGTTGAGCTTGGACTGCTCTGCGCCAGGTTGCAGCTTCAGTGCTTGCAACACGCTGCGCAATAGCAGCAAATTCTGCAGATTGCCGCCACTCTGATTGGCGGCATGGCGCAAGATCAACGTGCCATTCGGCTTCAGCTCCAAATAGCCAATCTCCTGCCTTGCGTCCACGGACTGCTCCAGCTGCGGCACAACAGCGGCCTTCAGCGCCGGCGAAAGCAACAGCAACAGTAGCAGCAGCATCTTCAGCTGCAGCTCCAAGCGCATATTTGTTACTTGTTTTTTTTTTTTGATTTTGGTTGATTTTCTTTTGGGAAACTTTACTGGGAACAGCTCCGAACGGGCAGTCGCTTGGTATTGCACTGGTTTTGGCCGCGCTTTGTCTCTCGCACTTATTTCAACTGCTGCGTTTGCTTGTTTTTTTTTTCTTTCTTCGAGCCCTGTGTGTAATTGAGTGTTGTTTGCTTTGGAGCCATTTGTGTGCGTGTGTTTACCTGGCGGGCACCTGGCCAACTTGGCTCACGCTGCTCGCCCAGCTCTCGGCGCTCTCAGTGCGCTTGGCAATTGGCTTAGTGTTTGAGTTAGTTGTTTGCATTTAAGTTTTGAGCAATTTGTTAATTTCCTATGTTATACATTTGGCAGGTGCCAAAAGAAATTCAAATATATCTAAGGCACAGCTGGTGTTCGAGCAGTGAAAGTGGCAGAGTTCAAGTTCTAAATATTTAGTTGTATTTAAGTTTAGTCAGGCAACGCAGCTCGTTATTTGTCACAAGGAATTCGAAATAATAACAAAATATTTAAATAACAGCGACAGTTGCAAAAACCGGCTTTTGAAAATTAGGTCTGCGTTTTTATTTAGACTTTTGCATCATCGGCAACAACAAGACAAGCAAACATATTTACAGCATTTTTCAAAAATGTATCGTATAAGAAATGATTCAAACAATTGCGACTCTAGTCCCATTATTCTTTATGCGTGCTTATATATATGCATATACTTATTTATTTATTTATACTCAACGTCAATTCCAGACACTGCAAGAATCTCGAAGATTCAATAACTAAATAACATAAATAAATTTTAAGCGTCGGAAAGCCCTACTTGTTATGTTGTTGCTAAGAACAAGAAAAAAAAGTGTGTTAACCTGTTGGTGAATCATCAAATATTTAGAACCCATTTATTTTTGCTATTCTTTTCAATTCGGCGAACGCCTAAGCCAGAAAGACGCCATTTGCGTCTATGAAAAAACGAAGCTGTGTTTAAAAATACGAATTTAATATTATTATTAATGGTCAATAGAAAAACGACTATTTGCTTGGGCTAAACTGCGACTGGGCCTTTTGATGAGTTGGCAATTCAAATTTGTTTTAACGGTCAACTTGAAATGCTTGTAACAGTCGCAAGGTCTCGATGCGCCGATCAAGGCGTGCAGCTTACCTATTATTTAAATAGCAATATCATTTTGTAATTTTTGTAATTGAGAAACTGCGCAGTTAAATGCTGAGCCCTTACACGATCTACAAATCCCCAAAAAAAAAAAAACAAATACAAAAAAGAACAATTCATTCGATACAAAAGACTTAGGCAACAAACTTGCGGAATTGTAGCCAACTAGTTCTCATTGTGCGAAGTACCCACTCGAACTGACACTTGATAGCGCACATGGAGATATGATTACCCATCCATCTAATTATGCATATATCAGCAGACAAGTCAAGTGCCTGAACAGAAAGCTTCCGCTGAGCGGCTTCTCTACAGGAAACCCGAACCCAACGCTGAAGCGGTACATTTTGCATTAATTAGAAGTAAAAATTGATGGAAGTGCTCAAAAAGTGTTTAATACTAAATAAATCATTGCTCAACGGTCGCAAACAACAAAATCTCTAAAATGCTCGACCACGTGCTACCCAATTCCCATGAGAGCTGCTTAAAGCCGGATCATAATAAGCATATGGCATATCTTACATATTTCATAGATAGCTGAACGGGTTTCGATACTTGTCAAAAACCGAACCAGTTGCTTAGATTAAATCTTAAATATATATATATATAATAATATTCATGCGATTTAAAAAAGTTATTAAACGTTTACATTAAAGTTCGAATCGCAGCCTTCGCTGCGCTGGAAAGTTTTTTGCCTAAGCCCCTAAAGTTATTAACCCGAAAAGTACTTTATTTATGCGTGTGCCTTTAATATCAGGTACCTATAAAACTCTCTATATCTTAAGGGGTTCGCTTGTCTAAATAGCTTCCGGACAGAACCCAATGGAACTTTCCCTAAGTCTTATATTCATTATTATTATTAGGTGTCGGATAAACTTACAAAATATCTATTTAACTTTTTATATAAGCTTTCAGCCAGAGGCTGGTTCTTAAGTTCTTCTGTTGCCTAAATGCTTAAATTACATAGAGATTTCAGGAAACGACTTACCAGAGTTTAGTCACAGCACGCACTGTCAGTAGAAGCAGTTCCTGCTACCCTGTGCTCATTTTTTACAGGGTATTACAAAGATCTATGATATAACTTGACAGCGGACGAGCTCACCAAAATGCCACTTAAACTGCGACAGACACTTGCGGGTGCGCTTACAGCCAGCGAATTATTCTAGAAAAAATAAAAAGGTAAAATAAATATTATTATTAAATAACTAATTGAGCATAGGAGTGCTCACATACATAGAATTAATGATGCGGCCAGCAGCTACGCGTGAGAAGTGTGAATTTGAGCGCCGTTCATCATGAACTTCAAATTGTTGTTTAGCTCATGATGTTGTTGTTGTTGTTGTTGCTGGGATGCTGCTGAGTAAAAAACCGGACAGCAACACCGCACATCTTCATTCAAAGCTCAGCTGCTAATTTTATGCAAAAAAAAAAAAACACACACAACTCGCACAACTGAAAAACAAACTGCGAAGCAAAGTTAGTATAAAAGCGTTGCCCTAAGTTATTTAGTTATTAGTAGATCGCCAACAGCATCAGGATCAGCAGCAGCAGCCGCAGAACATTGTTCATTATACGATAAAGCTATATACTATATAGATACAAAGTGATAATCAAGTTTCGGGATGAAGTGCTTCATTTTAGCCGCCTTTTTGCTGGTTAGTAGCCAAAAAATATTGTGTTCGTTGTTCGTTTTGTTGTTTCTTATGCATATTAATTGGCAACAATTTATATCATTTGTATAATGATTGGACATCTATAGATCTATACAATTAGAAATCCGGGTTGTAAAAATGTCAAGTGTGACGGGCAAGTGCAAATATGAATACTGCCGACTGTTTGCCTTATAGATTTGCAAATTTGTTACACGAATCGAGGAAGTCGCCCCAATGACATCATCTCCAATCAGCTCCATGCTCATCTTCATCAGCGTCATCATTCGCAGCCAGACTAAAGTTCAGCCAAAAGCTGTGAAGCGTGGCACAATTGTTAGCCAAAAAAAAAAACCTGTCCATAACTAATCCACGCGCTTTTATGTATTTTTCTCTTCTTACAGGCCAGCTGCGCCAGCGCCGAGAACATATTTAAGATCAATATCACGCCGGAGGAGGCGCAACAGTATTTGAGCAGTGCGCAGCTGCGCGGTGTCAATGAGATCGAGTATGCGCCCAAGACGGGCGAGAATCCACTGCCGGAGGCACGCAACGAGCGGGGCGAGTTTGTGTACATGGGTCGTGTGATAGATCATCCCGAGGATTTCGTGGAGGAGCACTACGATGCGCATCAGTATCATGGCCAGGACGGTCTGGGACAGTACGTGTACGGCTACAAGGACTGGAATCAGGGCAAGAACGAGAAGCGTGACGATGCCGGCACTGTCACCGGCTCCTACAAGTATGTGCAGCCACATGGTCGCGACTTCGTTGCCACCTACTATGCGGACAGAACTGGCTTCCATGTGGAGGACAATCGTCCCGCGCATCTGAAACAGCCAGCCACTAAGACGCCCGCGGTGCTGAAGGCCGAGGAGGAGCACTTTAAGCTGTGGGGTGAGCTGGCCGCCGCCGCCGGACACAATCCCGATCCCTATGCAGCCGAATACCAGCAGGGCGAGGGCGCCTATCAGCCCAGCGAGGCCGAGACCAGAGAGTATGTGCACGAGGAGAAGCCATATGTGCCCGGACCCGAGGAGACGGGTGAGCCGAAGGGCTTCTTCTATGCCTTCGACTACAACGTGCCGCTGCTGCGCAACAAGGCGGAACGCGAGGAGCTGGAACGCCTGCGCGCCGTCAACAACAAAGACGAATAGTGTCCTTGCTGTACTCGATATTAGCCTACGTACATAGAAATATCTTAACTCTAAATATTTATTCGATGATATTAAATAAATGAATCAGCAGCTATTACATTTCTCAAATACGATCTTTTTATTGTTACATATATATATATATAAAATGTGGTTTGGTTTCCTTCTTGTTTTTTTTTTTTCTTTCTGTTTTTGTTTTTGTTTTATTTGTGGTTTAACCCGTCCACTTGTATAATTGTATTTGTTGTTAATCTTAACACTTTAGTTGTTTGTTGTTCTCTCTTGTTGTTATATTTTCTTGTTGCATTACATTTACATTTTGTTTTTGTTTTTATTTCATTATTCTTTTTGCCGTTTTTCTTTTTTTTTTTATTGCTTTCGCTTTGCTCTTCAGTTGCACGAATTGAACTTAAATTAAGTATTATGCGACTTTTTAATCATAACGTATTGGGAGTTTTTTTACTTAATTCAAGCTATTTACTTGCTGCGAAATTTACACGAGCATTTTGTTTGTTTTGCATTTACAACCAGTTAAATCTAACATTTACGTTAATTAAATAATTAATCAATTAATGCTTTAGGTTTGCGTTCATTTCCATTTCAACTCACAAACATATTTGTAATTAAATTAAAACACGCATTAATTTAAATTAATATTTTTTTTTTTTTTTGATTTTAAAATGTAACTTTAGACTGCGTTTCTAATCTTTTCTTTCATTCAAATGCCATGCTTTATGGCACTGGAGAGGCTGACGAGAAATATCTCGCAAGGAAAACATAAATTGAGTCTGGGAATACTTTGTTGCATGCTTTTGGGTGCTGCCTAAAATACTTAAAAATTATACCCTTGCAGAAAAGATGCAATTTTTTTTTAGGACTTAATACAGATGCCACTTTTTATATATGCAGGCAGTTTTGAAGTCAGGATCAGTCAGAACTGAGTCCTATAGCTTCCACACGTAAAAAGGTGCAAATTATTTAGAGAGATTACTAGAAGTTTCTGTAAGGGCATTCAATCTTCGGCATTGCCAAAGTTAAGGTTTTTTTTTCTTTTTATTACTTGCACAAACACAAACAAAAGAAAAGTTTCGATTTGATTCAGTATACGTTTCGTGTGTAATAAATGCTTTAAAATGTTGAAAATAGTTTTCGATGTTAAAAACAAAAATTTGATTTTCAAATGAATCACAATTGAATTTCGTTTAAATGAAAAGCAAACATCATAAATGCACATACACATATGTATTTGCATATATGTTACATATGTATGCGATCTATATATGGCAGCTTTGTTCAGTCCAATATTGAGTTTTTTTTTTTTCTTTTTTTGTTGTTGCACTTGTTGCAGTTGCAACAACAAATTATGTTAAGTTCTTTCTAATCAGTTAATGTGAATGATTCTATCGAATTTGTCGGCATATTCGTAAATGGTTGCGTTTTGAAGTTGATCTTTGACTCGTTTACTGGGAACGACGTGTGACTAAGTTATAAAACAAAACAAAATAAAAGTAGATAAACAATACAATAACTAACTAATAGAATATTTATGCTTTTCGAGAATATAGCCAGTTAGCACGTATACGATTCGAGTGCATATCATAGGAGCTCTTTTATCATATAATTATTATGATAAGCTAAGTACATGTTCAGGTCATTGTTTTTGCATTACTCAAGTAATTTGGAACTGTTTATTAATAACTAAAGTTATTGTTATTGGGAAACGAAAACATCAAATATAGATAGAGCATAAAAATAAAAATAAACAAACAAAAAAATAGCGTCTCATAGTTATGCCAATTGGCATTGGCACAGAAGGTACTTGATAGAGCCTGCGTCGTCCACTCTCGAGTTCAACTTCAAAAACGTGGAGATCATTTTGAGCGTGTTACAGGAAAAATTCGTAATACTTTTTTTTTTTTTTTTGCTTTAGCGATGCGGGTTATATCTCTGACATTCAATACATTAGCTGATGTGACTAATTGTAGTGTGTGCGAGCTAGTCTAGTTACCAGATGGGGCAGGGGAGGTTAGTGTGCAGTGTCCAGTGCAGAGTTCAATGTGGTCTGATGACAATTTGGCGCATGAGTTTCTTGACGATTGACCTATTTTAAGATTTGTTTTTGTTTTCAACTTTCTCTCATTTTTTTTTTTGTCTCTCTCTTTTTTCTTTTTGGATTTGTATATAAGGCAAACACTGTATGCGAAACATACAAATATTGAACTATATAAATACTTGATTTTTTTGTATTTTTAATTTTTTGTTTTAAATTTACGTATGCCGGGGAAGAATTCTGGAAAGACTATTGACGACAATGCCCAGACAATTGGGCATTATACGCAGTATACACTGTATTGTATATGTATATGTACTTGTATATGTATGCATGTATGTATGTAAGTATGAATGGGAACATGGCACAGGGTTTTTTCTTTTGTCCTTTCTGATATTATTACTTTCGAGAGTCTGTCGATTTGCGTTCAAAAATTGACTGATACAACTGTATATATTGTATATATATGTACTTGTATATATATTAGATTTGTATACATATATATATATATAGATATATATATGTGTGGAAATCTTGTATATGCTAAACGTCCACGACTCTATGTATATGCCTAGGTGCTAGTGAAGTGCTAGTTTTGGGTAGTTTTCTCTGTCTACTCGTTACTCTCTTACATTCTTGCTTGTTATACTTAACTCTTCCGTTATTCTCTACTCTCCCTACTTACCAAAGTTGTTGTTGTTGTTGTTGTTGTTGTTATCATTGTTATCATTTATACTCAACTACTTGGCGACGGCAGCCGCTGCCGACGTTGCACTGGGCGCCACTTTCAGCTTAATGAACATGTTGTTGTCGTTGTTGCTGCTATTCAGATCGAGCTTTTGCACTTCGCACTCAAGATTATTGATGCAGTTCTTTTCATACTGTGAGGTGCCATTATCAGCGCTGATGGCCGTTTTGTCACTGGGCGTTTGCTCGCTGGGCGCCACTTTCTTTTCCTTGCTCTTCTTGAGCGCATTGAGCAGCGTTTTCTCTTTGCTCTTGCTCTCCTTGTGATTGCCGTCCTTGTCCTTGTGTTTGTTGTTTTTGAAACGCGGGAAAATGCAACCGTTCGGCAAGAAGCCGCCTAGCTTCTCCTTCTTGACCGGCGCTGCTGGTGCGGGCGTTGCTGCAGCTGCAGGAGGTGTGGGTGTGGGCTGGGCAGAAGCGACTGGCGTGGGCGCTGCTGCTGTATTTGTGGGCGTACTTGTGCCGTTGCTGGCAGTGGAAGCAGCTGATTTGCTCTCTGGCTCTTGTGTGGGCTGCTCTGGCGTTGACAGATTCTCCACAGCAGGCGGCGAGCCGCTGATGCCATTAATAACGCCACCCGCATCCGTTTGATCGGTGCAGGCTTCGCCGGGCGCTGCATCAATGCCACTCAGTTGTTCTGGCTGATGCTGCTCCTCCAGCTGCTCGCTGGCCACCTTGTTATCCAGCTGCTGAGCAAATACGGCTAATGTTATGCCATTGCCATGATCCGCCGCCATAAGATCGGCATTGTATGCTGGCGGCAAGCCAATCTCGGCAGCATTTGACTGTGCTGAGCTGCCGGCACGCGCCGCATCCGGCGACTTGGGAAACATTTGTTGTGTAGTGATGTTCTGGTAGTGCTGCTGTTGGCGTTGCTGCATCATTTGCTCCTCGCGCTCACGATCTCGCTGCGCCTGCACAGCATTCCAGACGTCTTTAAGCTCGCCCGAAATGTCACGATCCTTGAGTATGACGGCGTTTCTGTAAAAGAAGCAGGTCGTTTGAATATTGAAATGGAAAGCCAAAGAAGCGCAACACACCTGACTAGTTTCACGCCGGGATTCATAGCCTCCACAAAGTCGCACATTAGCTCCACCATAGCGCGCCGTTCTTCCGGATCCTTGCTATGGCGACCAGAATCTTTGAGCACCTCTGGATTGGCCATAACAGCGAAGACAATGGGTGGACTGCGCGGACTGCCAGGCGGCACCTGTGAAAACCCCATTAAAATAGGTTGACCGCATAATAATACAAAATGGTTACTTACGCGCATGCCTCCATACAAAGGTATGGGATCACTGGGCTCTTGTGGTATTACAATACGTGTCCAGCTGAGCACATTTATGAATAACTCCTCGCCGGTTTCTGTAGTAGTGCGTATGCACATGTGTGGCTGTGGCGGGTTCTTAAAGTGCCGGTAGGCGCGCGAGTGTCGATAGCTGTGCGGTGGTGGAGAGGATTGCATCATGGTCAGTCCAAGGCCCAAGTCGCCCTGTTGATCTAGTTGTTGTTGTTGTTGCTGCTGCTGTTGTTGTTGATGTTGCTGATGCTGTTGCTGATGTTGTTGTTGGTGCATTTGTGCATGCTGCTGGATATTATTAAGCTGCAGATGTTGCTCCACATTAATGTTGTAGCTGTTGCTTGATGTCATAGTCTCAATGGTTTCGTCTAGCTCCGCGCTATACGGATTGGCTTCAGCATCATTGGCAGTGCTGATGTTGTTGCTTGTGTGTTCGTTTTGCTGTTGTTGTTGGGTTTGTTGTTGTTGTTGCGGGTGCTGCTCCTGTTCGGAGCTTTCAGCCTCCAGCTCCGCTGCCGACATTTTTGTTTGTTATTGGTGTTGTTGTTATTTATTGTTGTCGTTATTTGCTGTTTGTTAGCTTTTAGCAGTCTTTTGTTTCGCCCTCCCCTTGCTGCTGTCCGCTGCGTTCGTCTATTGCCCCGCTTCTGTGACGTTTTTCTTGCTCTTCTCTTTGTTCCTATTTTGTGTGCACTCACACTAACATTCGCCCATTCTTGCTCTCTGCCGCTGTCTTAAAGCACTACGATGCCTGGAGTCCTGTTTAGAGCTTAACTTTTGACCTTTTGCCGTTATTAATGTGTGTGCATATTACGCGTCGCCTTCTTTGACATTTAACATGCATATATATAAATATACATTTATATATTGTCTACAAATACAAGTCTTATCGTGCACGCACTAACACACACACACGACAGGCACAGGCACAGGCACAGACACTCAAACACCCTTCAGTGCGCACCCCGCACTAGCACACGTACAAGTGGGAGGAGTTGGTCGTTGTCTGCGAAAGAGTAGGGGCAGCATGTAATAAAAAGAAGACATGAAAATGAAAAAGTTCAAAGCGAGCGCATCTGTGTGTTGCGTTTTCAATGTTGCACTTACACATTTCACGCGTTTTCATTTATAATAATGGTTTTCCAGTTTCATTGCACAATACACATACAAAACACAATGTACATACACATACACAAACAAAAACTGCGTTTCTGCTTCACATAATTTTTTCTCAACGACTGCTGCTGCTGCTGCTGCCTACTGACTGCACTTACAAAACAATGCACCGATAGACGGCCGCGCACTGCGCTGATTTTTATATTTAGCTTTTTAGCAGCTTTTCATTGCGGCACACAGAAAACAGCCGAATTTTCCGACGACTTCCCAACATAAACAAAAAACTAATGTAAATGTGTTCAGAGTGACCAGTCAGCAGAAATGTGATGTTCGGTGCTGCCAGATGGTTGAAAAATAGGCCATTCGCTATCCGCCAATGTGCACACATTGCCGGCCCACATTACAGTGTGTACACGTGTTTTGTGTATTCTGCATTCTCCGCCGGCGTGAATTTTTTTGCAATCGAAAAGCAGAATTTAAAATTAAGAAATAATATACATACACTGCATATTATTAATAAAGAAACGAACTGATTGAAAAAGTATTCAAAGTGCGTGAGTGTAAAAATCAATTTTAGCGTATCCATTTGGAATTTGGCGCCGAAATTGTAGATTTTTCATTGCCCTTGCGCCGTTGTGTGTATAACAAGATGGCGTCCTCGCAAGTCTCAAACAAATCGGGCTCCGGCTGGCCGCGGCGCGGCAGCCAAGGCCAGGCTGACGCCAGTATCAGCAATAATGGCACACAAAAATATGCGCCCAATCAAGCACTGACCATAAACCGCACAATCAATCTGTAAGTAGTTTCTGTACAATATAATGGCAAACTTCAAACACATTTCTTTTTAACTCTGCTACGCCAGCTACCCACTAACCAACTACACATTCGGCACCAAGGAGCCGCTGTTTGAGAAGGATCCTTCAGTGCCGTCACGCTTTCAGCGTATGCGCGAGGAGTTCGATCGGATCGGCATGCGTCGCTCTGTGGAGGGCGTACTGCTCGTGCATGAGCATGGATTACCGCATGTGCTGCTGCTTCAACTTGGCACCACATTTTTTAAGCTGCCAGGCGGAGAGCTGAACGCGGGCGAGGATGAAGTAGAAGGTCTCAAGCGTCTACTCTCTGAGGTGAGTCCATGTGACGCATAACACATTAAGATCTCAGTGTAATGCAATGTGTTTGGGTTGCAGACGCTTGGCCGTCAGGATGGCGTTAAACAGGATTGGATTGTCGAGGACACCATTGGCAATTGGTGGCGCCCGAATTTCGAACCACCACAATATCCATACATTCCACCGCACATAACCAAACCAAAGGAGCACAAACGCCTGTTTTTGGTGCAATTGCATGAAAAGGGTAAATATCCAATGCGCTAGCCAAAAGTGTTGTCCAGAGCGTAGGTATTATGATGACGGCAAAAAAAAAAAGTACATTTCTAAATACTTTTATAAACATATAACCTTGTAAAGTTATTGCCAAACCGATACGCTAACAAACCTCATGTCATATCTTTTCAATGCTGTTTAGATACGGACAGGAACGCCAGTTACGATGTACCCTGAGCTGTTCCAATAGCGCCGTGTTGTGTTGTGTAATCTCACGCATCTGGCATCTGCCCAACCAAGCATAGAGCTCTTCCTCAACGCTCTACTCAAGAGTGCAAATAAACTGAACAAACAGAAATGAAAAGAATCAGAAACAGATCGCATAATGGCCCCGAGGCGCATACAATTTTAATTAGTTCGTCGATTCTAGTTCAATTTTTTGTACAAAACTTACTTCAAATTGTATTTGTTGCTCTCAGAGTTGTTGGCATATTTTGCGCATATCCCGAAATTCTTTGATTGTTCTTGTTGTATTAATTTTGTAAATATGTCGACACTTCTGTAACCCAGAGAGCGCAATCCTACACACGATACTCATTTTTTCTTTGTTATGTGTTGAGCCTTTATTAATCGGGCAGGCAGGTGAACAATAGTTGAAAGTGCATTGTAAAAGTTGCCGGTTGTCGTCTGTTAATGCGGACAAATCTCGCGTGTTGTGCTGATTTGCGTGCATATGGCAAATGCAACTGGATTAGGCAGGCAGTCGCAGTCGCTTCATAAATAATTTAAGCACTCGTTTATGTAACAACAATTATAACTCTGTGTTTAGTACTTCCTTGACATCATCCATTGTGCAACACTCGCGTTCACACGCACCATGTATAATGAATGTTGCTCTTAATGGTAATCGAAATTATGTTCTTATCACAATAATTAGTAGACTTTGTTTGATGCCCAAAATTGATGGCTTTTTAGAAGTCGCATCCGAATCGATTTGAATTTTGCGCATCAAGAACAGAATCTATTAATTTAGTTTAACGAAGTATCAACAATTGTGAATGTAAAACAAACAAGAAAACAACCATAATACAAACTTTTATATATCATACGTAATTACGGCAGCGAATCTTTCTTATGTAAATTGTTTTGTATAACCGATTGTAATTATCTAGTTATTGCAATAATCATGTGATTACCATAACCCCTTATTATATCTAATGCTCTCTGCTACATACATAAATTCTGTCTCTATCGTTTTCTGTAATCTAGCACTATTTGCTGTGCCCAAAAATTATAAACTTGTTGCTGCCCCCCTATTCGAGCTGTACGACAATTCACAAGGCTATGGACCCATTATATCATCGCTGCCGCAGGCGTTGTGCAGGTGAGCGACCAGATTCTGTTTAGATCCTTTGATTTGCCTTGCTAACTTTCACATTCTTTACAGATTCAACTTTATCTATATGTAAGGCAAAGGCGCAGATTTAACGTCGCTGTCCCTCACTTTCCCCCTAGATAGGCTGCATCACCAACGATAGCTCTACTTTATAATTTACAGCACCTCAGCTGGGCGCGTCGCATGTTGATGATTTCCATTTCATTTGTATATGTGTGTGTGTGTGTTACGTACATATTTGTATGGCAAATTAAATGGAAAAAGACCAAGCGGCATGTGCTTGGCATATATAAATAGAATCGAAAGTTTACTTTATTTTGGACTATTATTGCAATGCTTAACTAAATATTACAGAATACATGAAATTTGGTTCGACAAATTGGTATATTGAGTATGTGGGCCAGTTATAGCATATATTCGCTATATATCTGTTCGTAATAATCGCGTTTGCTGCAATGGAAGATACGCACAGTTGTTGAATATCATTAATATTCTATTCGCTAATACTTATTTTTTTTTTTCATTTTGCTTCACTGCTGTTAACTGCATTGAACTACAGACTGTTAATGTTGCTGTTAACATTCAACTGCGCTTTCAAGTGCGTGGGTTGTAACAAATGAACTAATTAACATAACAGAAAACTACAAAGCGTACAACAAAAGTGAACTAAAGCAAACAGGAACCGTTGTGTTTTTCTCTAGTTTGTTAATAATTATATCTTAAATGCTAATTTCATATTAATTGTTATGCATATTTTCTGTTTATGACACGTACAAAAAATGTAAACACATTAGCAACTATTGTTCGCAAATATGCTGATATCTCTTGCATGGCTTTACCACAACTTATTGTGATAGAATTTTAGATCGTTAAAGCCCTGATCGGTCAGGCCGGCCGTTGAGGACACAGTGGACATGGCATCTGTGTTGTCCTGAACGGGCGACGTGATCTCATTGCCCAGGGGACGATTTATCTTAACCACGCCGAAATCCTCGCGTTCCGGCTGATTGAACTCCATCTTGTCGCTAGGCATAACGGCCATGCCCACGCCCGAGGAGCGATTCTTCATGCCAGTGTGCTGCTTGCTTAGCTGAAAAGCCGGCGGCTTACGATTCTCACCAATAATGCTCTCAACCACCTCCGGCGAACGCACCATTGGCGGTGTTGGAGTGTAACTCTTAGGTGGCGGCGATGCCGGAGTGATCACCTCCTCGGTTACAGGCTCTGGTTCCGGTTCTGGTTCCGGTACACGCTCTAGCTCCAAGTGATAATGCTCGATAGCATCGCCAATCGCCTGCAAATTCTGGAATTGTGCGGTAAGTTGGGCAATGTCGCTGCCTCTGTTGAAAAAGTTAACAGAGGCTGTTAAATAACATACACTACACTAATTTCATATTGATTAAATTTTCTTGTTGATTTTATTGCACGACAAATGAAAATAAATTACGACAAAAAACAATGCAATAATGTTAAAAGAGTTAAAATAAAAATTTATACAAATGTAATCACAATTATCAGGTATTTTGTGTAACGGTTCCGATCGAGCTGACTACCCGTGCCGTGAGTGTGAGTGTGAGTGTGTGTGTGTGTGTAGAGGTTTAAGTGATGGTAGAGGTGTGTTTTGAGGGGGGAGGGGGGTGGGGTGGGTGTGCGGCGAGTGGAGCCTCCTCGCTGATTGTACATTAAGTAAATTCACGCATAATTAAAACCTATGATAATGCAAAATTATAAATAATCTTCTATAAAAAGAAAGCTTTGTACACTTGATTAGTTGATAATTGTTTTTCAATGTAATGCAGCCGTGTGTGCGTATGCGTAATTATTTGATTCTGAAAGACAACAAAAGAAAGTAATGTAACCAAAAATGACAAAATATAAACCGAATGATCAAATATGCTCAGGTGTTAGTTAAAAACAAAAATTAGCCACATTCGGTTTACCTGTTAGACTCTGAGCTGCCACCGCCGCCGCTCTTGCTGGAACTGCCGCTGCCCGAGTGAATTATCTGCACGAGGGTTGAAGAATAAAGAAGATGCAAATGAACATACATATTAAACATTTAGGTCATATCTGTGTTAGGGTTACTCATGAGAGAGAGTGCTAGAATATATTTCCTTAACCAAAATTGTTAGAGAAGCAAAATGAAAAATAAAAGGTCGATTTAGCTCAGCGGCAACCAAATGAATTGCTTTATTAACAGCCAGAATGTCGTCTAAATAAACAAAAGGAAACAAAAAGACGCAGTTTTAGTAGCGCATACCCCTCCGCCTGCCAGAATCTAGCGCAAGTGTCAAGCGAAGTTCCATTTTCGCCCTTACAAACAGCCCCTTGGCACGCGGCCAAAGCAGCCGCGGGGTTGATATCTCCACACACTTGGGTGGGGGTTGACCCACAAAATGGGCCAAACCACCCGCAGCGAAAGTTGCGAACAGTTGCGACACCAAATTTTCAGTAAAATAAAATTAGAGTCTTTATTTACAGTGAAATTTCGTGTCAGAGCATGGAAGTTTCGAGCTGTTCTGGCAAAACAAATTATTGTTATTCATCTTTCGTTTGTTTCGACTTGGGCAGTATATATAGTCGGAAAGGTGAACCGAGAATTTGGGGAGATTTGTATTTGTTCGTCGGGTTCTACTTCAAATTTGGATGCATTGTGATCACCAAGCAAAGCACCACTTCTCTTCTGGGTATGGGGCCTGCGCGCAATCCCCATACACACACACGCACACGCATCTAAATATGAGCTTGAATTTCTTTACGCCAAAGTTACATTTTCATAAATTTTTTTTTAGACTTTTTCATTGATTTGTTTGTTTCCTTTTCTGGAGTGAATTTCTGTATGGGATTGACAAAGCATGTGGTCGTCCTACTGCAGCGGCAGGCCAGCATCGCCGTGCCCCAGCTCGGGCGTGCGCACCAAATAGATGGTCGTCTGGCAATTGGGGCATGTGGTGCACATTTCGGCAGCTGGAGGCACAGCTCCAGCGCCCGTCGCCTGTGTGGGCTATGGGTTTGAGGTGTCATTAAATTCGTATGCATGCAACTTGTCGCATATTTACGTAGCCAGGTTGTTGCTGCTGTAGTTGCTGTTGCTGCTGCAGTTGCTGGTACTTGCGCGGCGACATTTGGGCGGGTGGTTGCTGCTGCTGCTGTTGCATTTGCATTTGCTGCTGCTGCTGCTGCATCTGTGCTTGAGCTTGAGCCTGTGCATCCTGCTGTGCCAGCTGTTGTTGCTCATGGGGATTCTGTTGCTGCTGTTGGAGCTGCTGTTGATGCTGCTGCTGCTGTTGTTGCTGTTGATGATGCTGATGTTGCACATGGGCGCGTCCGCTGGGGTAAGGCTCATGGCGCGTGGGTTGACCAGCAGCCGGCTGCTGCACGTATTGCGGCTGTTGCTGCTGTTGCGGCAACGACTGCTGTGTGGGCACAACAGTTGCTGGTGCCAACTGTTGCTGTTGTTGTGCTGGCGGCGGCTGCTGTTGTAGCGGCACCTGCGCCGGAGCCAGGTTGGAAACGGCTTGCTGTGGTATCTGGGCAGCCTGCGGTGGCTGTTGCTGCTGCTGCTGCTGTTGCTGCATTTGCGGCTGGTATTGCATTTGCATCTGCGGCGCCTCCTGGCCCGAGGCAACGCGTATGGGTGCCACGGCGGCATTTGCTGCCGGCTGGTTGCTGGCCACGGACATGTTGCCTTCCAGGCCCGAGTGCCGCAGGCGTGAGGGACGCGCAAAGGCATTGGCTGCCATAAACGAATCATCCACATCCTGCAGGCCCGAACGGCGCTGGAAGGGATCCTGGCGATAGTTCATGCGGCTCAGCGCATCTAGCGGACTCTTGCGCGGCTGTCGGAAGAGGATGGCTTTTATTGCAATGGATGCCGTGTGGCCGTGTAGCTGGAACAGCTTACATTTTCCACACCCTGCTTGGCCTGGCTGGGCGTCAGGCTGACCTCGCTGCCGTATTTGCGGGCCATGTTGGCAGGCGGCACCATCCCGTGACGCGACTGCAAATCAAAACAGAACTACACACATACGCACACACACACAGACAGACACGCACACAGGCACAGTTGCTGCTTTGCTTTAATTCAACTTACGGCAACGCTCGTCTTGGACGCTCCTTGGCGTGTTGCTGCCACATTACCACCACGTTTTGGATCCATAATTTTTACAACAATTGATTAAATGCTAAAATTCGAAAACCGCACACGTAAAACTTTGGCACGGAATAGCGCGTCGAAATTGTATACGATTACTTTTATTTTTTTTTTTTTTTTTTGGTTCGGATTATATAAAATTACGCAAAGCGAAATAATTTGTGTTTTGTTCAGAAATAAAACAAGAATTCGTTGTGAATCGTGTGAAGTACAAATGTTAACTAAACAATTCGTAGATCCACAAATGATTCAAACAACTAAACGCTATGAAACTGAGCTACAGGCATGCTAAGATCAAGCTTTAATTAAATGTGTTTTTTTCTTTTTTTGAGTCCAAAATTGATATTTTACTTGGGAACGAATCAATAAAATAAATAAAACAAAAGCAAACAATTAATCACACATACACTGGCTGTTAAATAAGGCAAAACACACACACACACGCACACACACACACACAGGGGCTAGCAGAGCGCAATGAAAGTCAAACTGCATTTGGGCTATCATCAGTGGCATTCAAACTGTGCACGAAACTTGGGAACTTGAACTTGAACTTTTGAACATTTAATGTTTGAGTACCTCGGCCATGCTGCATGTGGGACGCGGTGCACCATACCGTCCATTTGGCGAGATCTGTGTTATTTGCTGCAGCAGCGACGGCTGCTGCAGATGCTGGTGCTGCTGCTGCAGGTTGCTGTTGCGTCGACCGAAGCGCTTTTGGTGATCGGCCTCATCGCCCAAATAGGTGGCACCAAAGAGTTGTGTGTTAGGACTTGTTTGGTTGATTCATGGATTTTTGGTAGTTGTTTGTTGATTATCGTTAGTAGTAGTAGGCGCAACATGTGGATTGAAAATAGTTAACGTTTATTACACTTAAATATTACGGGCATATATTCCAATTATAATTAGTTACTTTTTGATGCGTGCGCTCAACTTGTTAGCTTTAAATCGTGTTAAGCTCACATAAATTAACTAATTAATATTAATATTGAACAAGAAAGAAAAGTTTCTGTTGGTATATACCGAAGAATAAATACACTTGCAGATACATCTGATACTTAACGGTTTTTATAGAACTGAATTTTCTGTTAACCGATGTTAACATTTTTCTGTTAATCGTTTTTTGACGTTAACTTTGTTAGGTTAGAAAACTTCTATATATAACGGTTTTTATAGCACTGAATTTTCTGTTAACCGATGTTAACATATTTCTGTTAATCTCTTTTTTTCACGTTTAGGTGTTTATTGAGCCACGGTGACGTTCGTAATTAGTTAGTTATGTTAATATATCTTGGGAAACCCAGGAGTTTTTCACATAAAATTTAAATTTGATTATGGAAAGTATGATATAGTATAAATATATGTATAATCTATAATGTTTCATAAACGTTAGAAAACAGACAGACGAAAGGCTATATCTTCAGCCTGATCATAATATATCCGATGATATATGCTTATAGTAAGCCCTGCAAAGTGTATAACAAGTTGAGCAAAACACGCATCAGTTATGAATATGATACATAATGATAGGAGCATATACATATAAAAAGTGAAAGCGCAAGCAACAAGCCACCGTTAATAGATTGCATACATTTTTCTTAAATTTTATTTATCGATAAGTGCTTTTCCGCAGGCGATCAATTTTATCGCTCACGCCCACTGGAAACACCGCACACAAGTAAACAAATGACCTAGTCGGATGTTTGCGTGCGATATGCAAATGTTCTGGCCAAGAAATGGGCAACTAAGCCAAGTGAAATATTTCCTGCAAGGCGCAACGCCTTAATTAACCTACTGCCCCGCCACGAAGCGCAGCACCAAACAACGCTACATCGCGTGGAAAACAAAATAAAATCAAAAAACAACTCACCTGTTTGTTATGTGGAGGCCATTCTTGGTGCGCTGTGGTGAATCGGCATGTCCATTTCTGGAGCCATTCTGGGAGGCCGCATCATTGAAGAAGCCCTCGTAGAGCACAAAGTTATTGGCCTGGGGGATGGTGCGCACCAGGCCATAGTGCTTGCCCAGAAAGGCCAGCAGCTTCTCGGATGGCCGATCCACGGAACACTTGGGTGGTGTCCATTGCTCCTCACTCAACATGGTTTCGAACAAACGCTTGCCTAGTCCAGCACGCTGACGTGTCTCGTGCACGTAAAAGTCCAAAATTGAGGGCGACTGCTCCATTTTGCGGGTCTGGCCCTTCTCATCGAACAAGTAGAGATCTTTGGTGCCGACCTTAAGCAGGCCAATGACACAGCCGCTGCAAAAGAAACGTGCACAGTCATATAAGTTGGTCTGGATGCCAGGCGAGCTCAATGGGAGCTGGCTCACTTGTTGCCCGCCTCAGGATCCGCCAGCAGATAGATGGTCTGGTTCTCCGACATGCGTAAGCGTTGAGCCGTGGTCACCGGTTTGTTCAGGCCCTGCGATGTGGCCGACAGCTGACCCAGTCGATCAATTATCTCGGACATCTTTGAGGTGGCATCTCTGGGTGCGTGTGTGAGTGTGGAAAGCGTAACGGTTAATTGACTTACGGATCAAATTGGGTTAACAACAAGCCCGCGTACAATTTCAATACTCACAAGCACTGACGCCGATCACCCCGAAAGGTGTGCGGCAATAGATTGGATGTCACTTTGATAATTGGCTGCGGAAACAGCGGTTTGATGTCGAAACGGAAATCCACCATAATTGCTGCTGCTGCTGCTGCTGATGAACGTATAGAACAACTGAAATTGCAATTGGGAATGCCAATTAAATAGAGCATTGCAAAAAGGCGCGTTCAATTTGATTATCAGTGTGTCAGTTTGTCGCATCCACTTTTGGGCGCGACTTTGTGTGGGAATCATCGCACATGCGATTCACTGAATGGTAGTTGTGGCACATGCATGATTCAGCAATTAATTGAACACGTGTAGGTGTGTCGACAGACAAAAAAATGGCGGAAAGTAAATAACAGTCTGGCAGCTTCTTCTTGCGCAATGCTGCCAGCTTATGCGTGGGTCCTTATTTGAACCGATAACGATAAACGTTTAATATGCGTAATGTTATCGTGTCATTCAACTCATTAATGGAAAGTGGGGCAGATTGCGGTTACAAAACTCCTGTCATAGTTTATTGTTGATTTGCGAGTGCAACGAACTGATGCCGGCAGAAAGAGAACGATAAGCGCTTTTGTAATTACATTTCAGGATGGGGCGGGGCGAGGCAATCATTTCGAGCACATGCAAAACTTTTTCCGTTGCTATTTTGAGTAGTTTTGTCAGCGACAAAGTTAAACAACGGCCTGCAGCTGCAGTCACCGTCAACGCTGCAGTCGCCGTCGGCGTCGCTGCAGCGCAGTCCGAATGTCAAAATGCGATAGCAACAGCAAGCGCACAAATGACGTGCTTACAGCGTGTGGCCCCCAGCAGAGGGGGTTGCCTTGCAGTTGTCGTTCTTGTTGTTTATTTGCCCAACAGCAAACTGTTGACGTTGCTATACACCGACTCTCTCTCCACGAAGTGCTTTATAACTGTTTATAAGCCAAAGCGCATGATCTAGAACAAAAACAAGAACAAAAGCAACCGACCACAAAAGGAGCGGGCGGTGTACAGGCTGCATTTCTTATTGTTGCTCCCCTTTTGGCTCATCCGTCTTAAATACGTGCATGCATACATACATACATACATGCGCATAAGTAAATATGTCAAGTATATAGTGTATGTGTGAGAGAGCGTGAGAGCAAGCAAAGGAGCTGAAATCGCGTGTAGAGAGCTGGCGAACACGAGTGCAAGCGAGAGGGCGGCGTGCGATCAAATCTCTTACAATTTAACCGTTAATCAGCAATAAATGCAGTTGGAAACAAAACGCTTGGCAACTTGCAGTACTATTTAATCGAAAACAAATCAATTACAAGCAGACAGTTCACAAATAAAAATATTTTTTCACATGTAATTCTATTTTTTCATGCATAGTGATGAAATTAAATAAAGCAATTACACGGTCTTCGGTCTGGCTACAGATTTTTATTTTTCCTTTTTTTTTTGTTTTTGTCTATCAGCTGATTGAGCGACGACTGGAGGAAAAAAACAAGCCCTCGTCTGAGGTTAGCACCGGACCAATGCGTGTTCGGGAGAGCCCCTTCCATAGCTTATTTGTTTGTTGTGGGCGTGTATTAAATACAATATCGTATTGTATGTACATACATACACATGTACATATATTGTGTGAATGTGTGAATGTATGTATGTACTTACAACTACCTCTCAGTTACAATGGAACAAATAGACGTCACCGTCAACTGTCTCAACAAATTTCGTAATGACTAGCCAAAATATAATATACATAGGCGTATTCTATTATCGAACGTTAGTCAGACACACGTGGCTGGTCAAAGGCCAATAAAAATGAAGTGTTTTCAATGTGTACGTGTGGGCTCACATATACACACACATACATGCATGTACATCAGTTTCATGGAGCCTGGTTCTGTTTCTTGACACGACAGAAATTTAGCTAGCCAAAAGCAGACTTGAGTCAAATTTATGCAGCAACAAGGTCAATCGATAAATGTAAAGCAAGCTAAGGGAAAAACTTGACGCCCAACAACCGGTGCTGTTGAATTCCTGACAGGTGTTTGTTGTCCAAGGCAACAAGGAGACGGCCACGTCAATTAAAACTAAGCCTTTTAATGACTGTGTTCAATCTAAGTCGTTAACTGTTTGGGCTTTAAATGTGCACGCAGCTAAATTTATCGTTATCGATGCAACCAACTGCACACAAAGTGCATAATCGCTGGCAATGAAATACATTTGCGGTCTCGGGCCTGTTGTTGTTTTTAACACGCCTCGCAACCGACTCGCACGATGATCAAAACAACTTGTTATTCCGCAAAACAACAATAACAACAATTGAAGCCGCAGCGAGTGCAGTTCAATTTTCCATTCTTGTTTTTGTTGTTTGCATTGCACGCGCCACACGTAAGTTTTATCTAGCAGAGAGGCCAGAGAGAGAAAGAGAGAGAGAGAGAGAGAGAGAGATAGACAGAGAAGATTGCTGCTAAGCGGCTGATCAGTGTTCTGTTACGTTGCGACGTAACGCGTAACGTGAGACTGCATTGCATCAGCACCTAAAACGCGCCCCTGTTTATTATACATATGTATATACATACATATGTATGTATATTTTCCACATCCATTAAAACTTAAAAAAAGGAAAGTGGTCAAACTGTTTTCATTTAGCCATCGAATACCCTGTATTTTTTAAAACACTAAACATTATCAACTGATAAGACAATATTCCGGTTTCCAAAGAACTCCTGTGCTCAAGGTTTCCAAACGACTAGAAAAGTCAGACAAATACATAACACCAATTCAGCGACCGATACCCTACACTTTAATCAGTATAGCTATGTTTTATTGGCCCGCTTATGATAAGCGACGACCACCAGACATGAATGGGTCGCTAAACCGGTAAAAAGCGGTTCTAGTAAGCACTCAAGCGACAAGCGACACTTTTTAATTCTTCAGCTGTTTGTGATTTGATTAAGACAAACAAACAGATACGTCTCGCGCACGCATGACTGGGCAAAGGTTCACTAGCGTCTAATTTGGGACATTCGATGTAGGTGAACTGACAGTCGGTGTAGAAACGATATCTACGGCAGCTGTTTATCGACAAACATTGTGTAAATGTAACAGCAAAACACTACACACACTCGTAAAACATGCAAAGTTGTTATTGGTAGTTATCGTATGATCGCCACTCACACGCACACACTAACAGAGACATGTGTGCGCGCTGGTCAGCGTCGAGACAGTGCGTCTGACAGCTGCGAGAGAGAACGAGAGAGCAGGCGAGCAAACTAACAGCACGCTGCACTTGTGTCTGTTTGCTCGAGTTTTCTTATAAGGGCGAACAGTGACTGGTGGGAATTCAGTTGTAAAAGGCCAGTCAACGCGTACAGATCGTGAGGATCGTTCATTAAGCGCATATAATTTTCAATAGCTGAAAACCAAAAAGCAAGTTATGCCAAGCTGACAAACACTGTTTCATATCCAAAACAAAAACAATAAACAGCTGAGCAGAAAAAAACGCGCGTGTGCAAAATAAAGGAGAAAACGTATACATACATACACGCATACATACACGCTGACAACGGAAAATTTTAGAGGCAAACGGCAACGGCGTGCTGTGAACAAAGCGAAATCAAAATCAAAACGTACCAGAGCAGCGACACAGCAGCTTTTACGTAATTTGTAGAATCCATAGACAACGTGCAATCCATTCGAAAGATGAGCAGCTCCGTGCTGAGCATGGCACGTCCCAGTGCCACCGCCGCCACCAACGGCTGTGCAGGCGCCACGGCGACCGCGGCGACGGCCACGCTGCTCGCCCAGCAGCTGAATGCGGCGCTGGCCAATGGCAAAACGGTGTCAACCACGCCCACGGTAACCGCGACGCCACCGAAACAGCCGCTGCAGGCAGCCAAGATCATACAACAGTCGCAGATTGTCTGCTTCGATGTGGACTCGACCGTCATCTGTGAGGAGGGCATCGACGAGCTGGCCGAATTCTGCGGCAAGGGCAGCGAGGTGGCGCGTGTGACCAAGGAGGCCATGGGCGGCAGCATGACCTTTCAGGATGCGCTCAAGATACGCCTCAATATCATACGTCCCTCACAGCAGCAGGTAGCCGACTTCATCAAGCAGCGTCCCAGCACTCTCAGCCGCAATGTGAAGCGTTTTGTGGCACAATTGAAGGCGGACGGCAAACAGGTATATCTCATATCCGGCGGCTTTGATTGCCTGATAGCTCCCGTTGCCGCCGAGCTGGGCATTCCACTGACCAACATGTATGCCAACAAAATACTCTTCGACTACAAGGGTGCCTACGATAGCTTCGATATCAATCAGCCGACATCGCGCTCCGGCGGCAAGGCGGATGCCATTGGCATGATTAGGAAACGGCAGCCAGCCGACGCGCTCATCACCATGATTGGCGATGGTGCCACCGATTTGGAGGCTGTGCCGCCGGCCAATCATTTCATTGGCTATGGCGGCAATGTGGTGCGCACAGAGGTCTACAGACGCGCCCAGTATTACATAACAGATTTTGAGCAGCTGATGTGAGTGTGCCGCACAGTGGGCGGCGGGAGTTGGGGGACAGGAGAAGCACAAGAAGGGGCGCTTTGTCACCACAGCGAATTTAGTATTCCAAATCGGCGTGTTATAGTTTATAAGCAACTAATTTAAGTATAAACCTACATATTAAAATATATATATATATATAATGAAATATGTGCATGTGTGTGCATAAGTTTATAGCCACTTGGTAAACAATAAAAACAATAGTAAAATTAAAATTTACCAATGTTTGGGTTCTATTTTTGTATGGATTGAGAGAGATCTGGCCAAAGGAGCTGCTTACTGGCAAGCCAAGATTATTCTAGAAAAAACACCATTCGCCCCACTGTAAATATTTGTATGTATATATATATATATGTAGTTTATTTCCCCTGCCAAGCGCACTTAACAGAGCTGTTAACTAGCAACGCAATGCTGCGTTGACACTTTCCATTTGCTGTGTGCCTGCTTAAGAGTATCATTCCAGCATTAAGATACAGAGCGTGAAATGGAAACGAGAGTTCGTCGTGCTCTTTTTTTATAGCTTACCACTAAAAACTGACACAAAGGTTAAAGTCATGGGGCACACTTTCTAAATGTAATTAAGGCACAAATTTGCCCCTGTTAAATATTTAATAACTGTGTCCGCAGCATTTAGCTAAACAAGAAGCAGCCAAGGTCGTGTTCGCGTGGGTGTTATCGATAGAATAACCGATAAATGTTAACCGGCATGAGTTGTTGTTTGAGGGTCAACGTCATCAGCTTCAATCGGCGCTTGCTCTAGTCTAGGCCATATTAGGAGCGACGCGGCTGCTGTTTAAAGCGGCAGAGGCGTGAATTAAGGCCAAATTAAATGTCTGGACCGTTGGGCGGCCAGGCCTGAAGCGTTTAGAGCGGCAATTAGCGGAAGGCACCAAACGATGAGATCACCAACAACAAAAACTGAGTAAAAAAACATAATTATGTTTCAGAGTGGCTTAAATACAAGTGCGCGCGCGTCTGTGTGTGTGTGTGTGTGTGTGCGCGTGTGCCTGTGTGTAGGTTAGAATGTGTGCAAGAAGTAAGACTAAGGGACTACCGCTATGACGCAGTGCCTGTGGCTACAGAAGTCTCATTCAAATGACGCACGAATACCGTTTTTGAATATGTGTGTGTTCGTATGTATGTGTGTGCAAATGATATAAAACTTATTTCAACCTGTAAATGACGTAAAAATGGTTTTATGCTCACTGAGCCGCATCCAAAAACAGCAACAGACGCGCACACACACACACACGCACACAGAAAATGTTAAGAAACAGGCAACAAAAAGTTTGATGATAAAATAGCAAAAGGAGCAATTAACTTACCACAACAATTATAAACTGCAGAAAACGTTGATTTTATATTATATATATAGTCTTTATAGTCAGCCGACGCGTCAGCGTTCCAATCAGATTCCAATTGCACGGCTGCTGCGTTGGCGTAACCGCTGCACAGATTTACGTTTGCTTGTGTGGGGGTTGGCTGCAGTTGCGTCTCCGGCGCGGGGGTGTGTCCGTCTGGTTTTGTATGCTGCCTTTGGTGCTTTATCGATTGTTAATTTATATTTCTGTGGCCAAAATAAAAATATTTTCTAATTTTTTTCTGTTTTGAACTACACCCTAAAATTTGTTGTATTTATTGAACAAGTTTTTATTGTCTACTGTTGTTGCTCTTGTTGCAGCCAAATTGCAAGAACAGCAAAAGATACGGCTTAATTGTTTAAGCACGAATTGATTTGTAAATATATTTTTATTGAAATTTGAGATATTTCGACTTTAAATTACTTCTTTTGCCAGCTTTGACGATGGCGCATCGACTCTGAGAACAACTGTGTATGTATATGCCCCGCTTGAAAACACACAGAAAACCGACACGCACGATTTAGCGTCCGACCAAGCGTTGTTGTATGCACGACAGTCAAATAAGATATAAGCGTTATGCTGAAGCTTTAACTTGCCACAAGCTTTTTTTAACTAGCAACAAGCTGAACCGAGAGGTAGCTTACAGCAGCTGATTGTTCGAGTGTTTGGGCGATTGCTGCTAAATAAGCTGTGGCGGTCGGTCGATATGGCGTGAAGTTATGCTGGTCACACTGACGCAAGAACTGTTAAATAAATAAATATATAATTTGCAATATACCACATTATTAAAAGGTCTTGACTGTGGCCAGAACTCTGGATTACACACGAAGAAAGACTTAAGGCAGCCGAATTCGAGTGTTTTGCGCATTATGGATTCTGTTATTTAACAGCTGTTATCGGCAACTGCAACGAACCAAATGAACGACATGCAGTAACTCAGGTTCGTTCATTCTCTCAAGTGAGTCATTCGACGACCCGATACAACACTACAAACAAAGGACACACACAGGACGCCCAAAATACGCATACACAAACGAAATGCCAAGGAATGGCGGCGATGCCGGCAACGGTGGCACAGGCGCCAGTGCCACTAGCGATGGCTGCATATATCCCGACGACGTCATATTGGAAAAGGGCGTTACATTCAATGTTCGTTACACGGGCTGCGTTGAGGTCAAGACCTCCATGAAATCGCTGGACTTTGAGACGCGCACGCTGCTCGCACGGTAGGTGATAGAAATACACATAATCAATCTCCACTAGCTGCTACAGCATCCAATTTTAGTGAGTGCATTAATCGTGTGTGCGAAGCAGCTGGCCTGAAGTCTGCCAGCAAACGGCGTCTGGACAAAAAGTTGCACAACTTTATATCGGATCGTCCGAGCATGCAGCATGCGGGCACAAACATCATCATCAACGTGTCCAGTCGTGCGCTGACACTCAGCAATGTGGAAACGGGCGAAGTGATTGCCAATCACAATATGCCCCGGATTTCGTTTGCGTCCGGCGGCGATAACGACACCCTCGACTTCCTGGCCTACATCGCCAAGCGCGAGGGCGACGAGTGGCGCGCCTGCTATGTCCTGGAGTGCGCTGGCGGCCAGAGCGAGGACCTGATCGTGACCATAGGCAAGGCGTTTGTGCTGCGCTTCAATGCGCTCAGCAGGCAAAACGAGCATGCAGCAAGCGCCGCGGCAGATAACCTGAATCAGAGCTGCAAGGAGAATGTCAAGGAGTATTATAACGATTTGCCGAACAAGCTGCCGCCGGATTTGCCTTGCGAGGAGCAGCCACAGCCACTGGCACAATTGCCGTTTAATCCGCACGCACCGCGTGTGGCACAATTGAATTTAAAGAAACCGCGCGATCGCTTGAGCAGCAATCTTATCGATCTTAACTCCCCGCCACCCGATCAAACCACCAACAAACTGGCCCTCGGCAACTTCGATCCGCTGCAGGCAGCTTCCGTCGCTGGGCCTGCGCCCAGTTCCATACGCGATGTCTTCGATGGGCCACAGTGCCCGCTAACTGCCGAAATATGGTTCCATGCTGCGATCTCTCGCCCAATTGCCGAGCGTCTTTTGCAGCAGGATGGCGATTTCCTGGTGCGCGAATCCCAGGGCAAGCGTGGCCAATATGTGCTGACCGGACTTGAGGGCAAAACACCCAAGCACTTGCTGCTCATCGATCCCGAGGGCGTGGTGCGTACCAAAGATCGCATATTCGACAGCATCAGCCATCTGATCAACTATCATTGGGTTCATGCACTGCCCATCATATCGGAGGATTCGGAGCTGGTCTTGCGTAATCCGGTGCGCAGGCCCAATCTGGATCAGGCGGCCGACAGCGCATAAATTACACAAACCATATACAACTCTTCATATACCATTATCTATATATATATACATATATATATTCGTGTACACACTTAGATTTACATATGTGCACTTGTAGAGAATATCTTTTATATATCGTCTATCATTGTATAAAAACAAACCCATTTATTTATGGATCGAATGTATACACATTTATATGTGCATGTCTACAGTATTTTTCATTAAAATGAAAATAAACCAAACGATGCATTTTACTCTCCATTCCATTAACCAATTCACAAATTTGTCGCTTTCACACCATAAACAAGGCAATAATTTCTATTTTTGCATTTCACACACGATGTTTATTGTGTTGTCGATGCAACCATTTGATATTTAGCAAAAAAAACAGGCGCCTTTGTAGAACTTAAGGATCACCAGCAGCATCTACTGTCCTTCCGATTAAAACCTAATTGCGACGTCCAAAGTTGTTGGTGTTGGGCTGGGTAAGCTGCAGGCCACGAATGTTGTGGAAGTCCAACAGTTTCAACATCTCCTTGGTGTCGGCATCGACATCGATGATGTCCTGCTCCAGAGCGGAGACAGCCGGAACGTAGTTGTCACGACGCTCGCGCTCCTCTTCCTGCAGCTTGATCGAAATACCGCGCACCTGGGAGTGACGCAGACGGCCCATCAAGTGGGTAACATAGCTGTGGACACATTCCCAATAAGTAGAACATTCTCAGTGTTAAGCAGCTCCTTGTCAGCAACTTACCCGGCAATCTTGTTGCAGAGGGGCTTGGTGGGAATGATGGCAACCTCCTCGCAGATACGCTTGTTGGTGTGGAAATCCAACGTCAGGCGTGTGTAGTACTTCTCAATGATGACCTTGGCGGCCTTCTTCACAGTCTTGGTTCTGACGCGACCCTACAGTTGGGAGTTGGTTGAAAACACAGGATTAGTTGGCGGCTCTGGTCACATAAACAATCAATTTTTTTGGCCAATTCAATGGCTGCATTGTATGTAATTTTAAAGAGCGCGAACGCTGCACATATTTATCTACACTTTTCTTCACATATTAGTGCTTAAGATGCGTTGATTGCATTTATATTTAAGGTTTTTTATTCGATTTTTGGCATTTGGACACCCACCATTGCGAACGTTGTTACCGGAAAAGAACAGAAAAGAGCCGCTGTCAAAATGACATCTTTTGTGTGAATTGCATGTTCAGGGTTGCATATGATGTTAATGGACGAAATGAAAGAGGAAGCATCATGTTAACCACTGTGAATGGCAATGGGAAGAAGAAGAAGAAGAAGCACGGTAACCAAAGTAACGGAAAAAAGTGCGAATTTATTTGATTCGCAATTTTTCAAAAGTGGGTCAGTGAAATGGAAAAGTCAAATAATGATGAAGAAGGAGCTGCTGCAGCATCCAACTCAAATACGGAGGAACAACAGCAAGCGGGCAGCAACAGCAACAACAACGGTTCTGATTTTCAAATCAGTTTAAATGATTTTCTCGATTTTCTCAAACTTTCCTGTCACGTTAACGATATGATAACAAAAGTTGAGGGCAAACCATATAATCGGGAGCCAGTGCCCCCCGTTGAGAGTCTCGCTGGTCCATTCGCAAAGCGAAATTCCAAAAAAGATGAATTCGATTTCGATAGTTTGGCTGAAAATGAATTGGTCAACAAACTTCTCACCCTGAAGCGTCCCTTTCGCCAGCTGGGCAGCAACAGCAGCCGCGACGACGGCAACCGCAGCAGCCTGCTGCTGACGGAGCACAAGGCATCGATGCGCACCGGACACGTACATTCGGGCCAAGGGCTGCATCCGAAACTAAGCGAGCAACTGGACTATGTCATCAACGAGGGTGTTCTGGACTCTGTGCTACCCTTTATATGTCCCATGCCATTGCCCGTTGCACTCTCCACCAACAACAGCGGGCGCAGCAAGTTGACGAAACCGCAGCCGCAGCCGCCGCCGCAGTCGCAGTTGCAGCCGCAGCCGCAGCCGTTGCAGCCGCCACAGCCGTCGCTGCTGCTCAAGTCGGAGCTTAGCCCAAACGTAGCATCCTGTTTGGTGACGCCCACCTCGAGCTCGGCCAGCGTTAGCTCACCTAGCGATAGCCCAGGAGCAGCGCCGACAGAGAACAATAGCGTCAATAGCATGGTGCGCACCTCGGTCAAGGAGCCGATGAGCAAAACTTCGTCAACTACAACGACGCGTCGCAAATCCTTGTTGCTGGTCAAGGACAGCAAACATGCGCGCCAGGAGAAGAAGGAGTGAGTATATTGAAGCGAGCTAGTTGCGTTATTTAATGCTCTCCATTTAGACCCGAGGTCGTCATTCACGTGTGCGACGAGGTGAAGAACACCTCGCGCGATTTTAGCTGCCCGCAGAGTCTGCTGGTCAGCAAGATGGGCTACTTTGCGGATGTGACGGCTGGACAGCGCCTGGAGGAGATGGACATATCGGTGCACTGCGACATACAAATCTTTGACTGGCTGATGAAGTGGATCAAGCACAGTGCCCAGAGTCAGGAACTGCCTGCTGCTCCGAGCCAGAACCCTGCTGCAGCTGGTCCCCTGCTGGATGGCAATAATGTGGTGCCCATACTGGTGTCGGCCAGCTTTCTGCAAATGGATCCGTTGCTGCTCGAGTGCCTGACCTTCTGTCACGCCCATCTCAGCGAGGTGGTGCGCACCTCCACGAATCTGTCGTGCCTCAATGATGCGCTGGTCACGCGCCTGGCTGCCATGTTCACCAATCTGGAGCTCGAAATGGTGCGCGATAAGAAGGAGCGTGTCACGCCCCGGCTATGGACAAAGCTTATACAAAGCCTCTGCGAGCCAGATCCCGAGGTGCTGCGCGGACATTTCTACAGCATTTCCGGACTGTTTCGCTGTGCGCGCTGCTGTCGCTGTGTGACAAACACGATGAAGTCCCACGTGAACTGCATACCCAGCAATATACGTCTGAATCGTTGGGGTCAGCTGGTCAGCAGCCATGTGCGCGACACGAACTGGGATCTCAATGTGTACGTGATGCAGCTGTTCAAGGAGCTCAAGTCGTGGCGCAAGGTCTACTGGAAGTTGTGGGGCCATTGCCATTATCTGTATTGCTGCACCTGCGAGGCGCATTTTCCGGCTTACCAAATGACCTGGTGTCGCTATCATACCGAGCCGCCCAACTTTCTGGGTCCCGAAACCGAGGGACGCATTGCCGGACCAGCTGGCCGTTACGCCTGCTGCAATCAGCAAGCCTTCCGCTACGAAACATTACCTGGTCCAAATGTAAATATGATTTATTAATCTCGAGCTAACTATTAACCATATTTCTCTCTCTCTCTCTCTCTCTCTGTGAAGGGCTGCCAGTTCCGCGAGCACAGCGTGTTGGTGGACACGGATCGTGAGCGCGCCATTCTGACCATTGCCCAGCTGGTCGCCGAGAACTATGCGCTGTGTGAGCAGCCGCCCATGCAAACCCAGCAGCTGGCCGCCGCAGGCGAGATCAATCCCAATTGGCTGGGCATCTCGTTGACGCCGCAACGCTGCCGCCAAGGCTTGTTGCCGCAGCTCTGCATGGACAGTGGGTATTTGCTTCCGGTTGATAAGTTACTTTTGTTAAGCTGCTGTAAATCTCTCGCACAGTGACCAATCATCGGGTTAGTCGCCGCTGTCGCTATGAAATGGAAACCAGCACCGAGTCGGAGACGACCTCAACCAGCTCGGAGGATGCGTGCAGGCAGCGTGCGCGCATACGCAACACGCTGCTCGATGACGAATACTCGTCCAGCAGCGATGGCTGCGAATCGGATCATCGACCGCCGCCGCCGCGAAATGCGCGCGCCACGAAGAAACGCAAACGGTAAGTCGAGCTTCAGGTGTGTGAGAAAACATATGCTAATCTCTTTGGGTTAGGCCCGCCGCCGTCTCTGGTCGCTTCTGGTCGGGTGAGCTGTCGGCGCGCAGCAATCAGGATCATCAGCGCGACTTCGAGGAGAAGATCATGAAACAGGTGGCCAGCTATGTGACCAAGAAAACGGGCTCCGATCAAAATCTGGTGCACAATGCCCAACCGCTGGGCGGCACCTACGTGCGCCTGGAGTCCGAATGGAAGGAGATGCTCAAGCAGCGGCACAGCAATCACAATATGCTAAACAGCAATGCCAGCAATTTGGGCGGCACTCTCGGAAGCAGCAGCAGCAATCTGAATCTGTACAGCGGCCTGGGTGCCACAGTTGGAGGCATGGCATGCGGTCCTGGCGCAGCACCAATGTCCAAGCAAAAGCACAAGTAGACGCTGGAATCGATTAGCAATAATATAGGACAATATTGGCATTAGACAATGTAGACACATGTTTGGATTAGCCAACGAGTTTTAACACTGTGCAACAAAACCATCAAAATTACGTATGTGTGAAGATTTAACAGAAATGCATAAAAAAAAATAATAGTATAGAAATTGATTAGAAGTTAATTCCTGGCGTGTGGGCTCCAACAGATTCTCATGCATTTCTTAATAGTTGTTTATTATTATTAACTTAACGCAATTTACAAAGATTTTTTTTTTCTTATAGCTTGGTTTCATTTTGTTTTCAACTTTAAAATTAATTTTCACTTTGCTTTTCGTTTCGCCTTTCGACTTAAATTAAACCAGTTACAGATGACAAAAAATGTTTCGTATGCATATTTTAAGTGTAGCAAGTAAATTGTATATATAAATTTTTCTTTTTTAAAAATTTTGTTTCTCTCATTTGTTGTTGTTGTTGTTGTCCTTGCTTAACAATAAATGCGGCTGCGCAAACGGAACCCTGGGTTCTATTACAAAACATAATCAAATGTCGAGAGGATGGGGGGCTGGGCCCTAGGCTCAGCCTGTAGCCGGAAACGCAACACAATTAATATATATATATTTAAATGTAGTGCACACATCAAAACAAACAAACAAACAAACAAACAAACAGAAAAAAAGGTAATAAAGAACTGTGGGGGCCAGTACCGGTACTCACTTTTATTTAATGAATTGCATATATATATATATTTTTTTTTTGGAGAAAAAAAAAACCTTACGTGAAATTGGGATTATTGTTGGCAAGTGAGAACCGGCTTGGGCGCAAAACTTTCAAATTACACAGTAAATGGATTTGGAAATAAACAAAACAAATTAAAAATTTCAATAAATAATGTTTGGGTGTGCGTGTGTGGCTGTGTGTGTGTGTGTGTGTGTGTGTTGGACTCTGCCAATTGTTTTCGTTTATCGATGTTGTGATTGTGATTTGCGTGGGTTTGGTAAAGTTAGGAAGGTGGGAGGGAGGGGTGTGGGGGTGCAGCTTTTGGCTAACAGTACTAAAATTTGGATTGCTGTGATTAGCTGATTGATTGATTGATTGATCCTAAACGAACTGATTGATTGAATTGAGAATGCTCTTATTGAATTTGCTACTGCTGCTCCTTAACTTGAAGTTCTTGTTGCTGATGTTTTGCTGCGGCTTCTGATTTAGTTGTTGTTGTTGTTGTTCTTATTCTTTTTATTGTTGCTGCGTACGGTTGACTGCGAAGCTAACTGAATAGGCACTCGGTCGCCTTCTCCAGATTCCAGTTCTCCTTGGAGAGCACGGCGCGCGCATCGTGCTCATCGATGCCCATGTCCTTGAGACGCTGTATCTTTGAATCACAATCGGGAAACGTGTGCGGTCCGCCGGCATACGCGTTGGTCCAGTGTCGGGCGGTCAGCACAAACAGTTCGTGCTTATCCTTGAACTGGTAGGCGACAACGGCGTCCTGCGGATCGTCTGGCTCGGCGGCGGCCAGCAGTGCCTGCAGCGACAATAGCACGGTGCGCAATGTCATCGCAGCGGCCCAATTGTCCTTCAGTATGTCCAGGCAAATGGCTCCGGTCACCGACGAGATGTTCGGATGCCATATACGTGTTATAAAACGAACCTGTCGACAACGCCAAACCAAACGGGATTAAGATGCAATCATGATGAGCATGTTGCCCGGGATGAGCGGGCGTTGCACTTACTTTTGGTGGATTGAATGGGTATGTTTCGGGTACTTTGATTTCCAGCACAAACTTGCCGCCCTCGTAGGGTGTGTCTGGCGGGCCGGCGATCTCGCCGCGCAGCTCTGTCCAGCTGTCGTTGACCAGCTCAATTTTGATCGAGCACTGAACGATCTACGATTGATTAGGCACACGATTAGTATATGCATTCCAATTGCTAGTCTATATGTTTTTATTTTGCTGATTTGTTGCGCGCGCCAAAAAAAAAAAAAAATATTTGCCAACAACAAAGTCGGATGCAGTGCGTCCGTGAATCCCATTTGGGGACCAGGGCTGGCAGCGCTCTCAGGCTAGTCATGGACGAAGCATTATATATTTGGCTGGCGTACTCACCTCCTCGCTGCGCATAACTTCTTTAAATTCGCGCTTGATACGTGATACGGCCATGTTCGCCATGATTGTGGGATTTGTTGTTGTTGTTCAGTTGCTGGTTTCTAGTTGTTGATTGTTGTTAGTTTGTGCTGTTGTTGTTGCGTAAATAACGCGCAGTTCAATGACGCTGGGCTAGATTAATGATATTTATATATTTATATTGCAGCTAAGCGGCGGCAGCATACAAAAACAATATGAAACGCTTCTGTATTTCAATTATATTAAACTGACTTTTTTCTCAACACATTATGCACGTCAGCCAGGGCTGCTAGACTATCGATAAATAATGGCAGTCAGCTGCTGGCCAGTGTGACCCATAGCATAGATCGTCAGAATACACGAAATGTAATCTAACATGTTATCGATAATTTCGCGCGGTGGAGTTCTGTTGGGCGGAGGAGCTGACTGTTAACCGCTTTTCATGTTACATTACAGTGCTGCAAAATTTCGACAATCATTTCAAATTTGGGCGCCATTTCAATTAACCACCTTACACACATTGTACATGCTTTACATGCTTTGAACTTGTAAAAACTATAGGGCACACGCCAGCGAACAGCATGGTATTTTTCCACAACATTTTCAAGGTTTCCGCGTGATCCCTACAACATACACACAAACGAACTTGAATTGACCTCAGGTAGACACTTCTATTGCGCCTTGGCAACCATTCATTCAAAACTCGTTTTGTCTCTTATAAACAACAACAACAACAACAAAAAACCCAAACACAAGTCTAGTTTATAATAGGGTGGGCCGCTTGGCAACAGCAGCAAAATAAAAACACAGCTCTTCAATTTGGCGACTCATTAATTTAAGTACAATCAGCGTCTGGCTATTTTTCGCGTTCACGTTTCACTTTGCGGCATACAAACAAAAACACAGCAAACGAGAAAAAAAACGTGCTCAAACTGATGCGTGGGGCCGCACAGCACAACACGCGCTGGACTTGAAAGTAAACCCAGTAAACATTTTTGTGTGGGCATTGCAAATACTCTGAAATTTTATGCTCCAATTCTTCTTCTTATAAGCTGGGCCATAGTAATAGAAATGCAGCTGGAGATAAAATTAACAGTTTCTGTTTAGATTGGCAATCCGTTTGTTTGCTGGGCACGTGTTCCCTTTTTGTTTTCCCATACACAGACGATCGTCGGCCCCAAGCTCCAAATAAAATAAAAAAAACAAAAAAAAAACAAAGCGAGTTGCCGGCGCGACTTCTCTTCCATGCGCTCTCCGATTCCGATTCTGGCTCTCTCTCTCTCTCTCTCTCACATGCTCTGCTTGTATCGTGCGTCTTCTACGTCAAAAACTTCATGACTTCGACGCCGTTGGAATCATTCAGCTTTTGCATTTCCATTGAAGCGGCTGCATTCTGAAGTGCTGCAGAAACTAGTAAAACAAAAGATAAGTGAAACGTGACTAAGTCGAGAACCGTTCAACTCTCTTCTAAGCTGTTAAAGTTACTTGCGACCGATTTGCCTTTGCACATGTTTCAAGTAAGTTGATATTTATTTCCGACACGTTTTTGCATATGCTATGTGTACGTGTATATATATGTGTATATATATATATGTGTGTGTGTGTGTGGGTGTGCGCATGTTATTTTGTGTTTTGGTATTTTGAATGGCATAGAAAACGTGCGTTCTCAGCACATTTGAAGCCGACACGTGGTCGCTTCCCCCCACCACTTTTTATGATTGCAGCGACGCCATTTGTATTTGCGTCAACAATACATACAAGCTCACATACATGCATGCATGCACACACACACACATAGACTACGTCAGCGCCTTCCTTTGGCAAAAACACTTAACCTGACATTTTAGCTTTAGCTTTAGTTCATTTAAATTTAGACACGAAAACAATTTAACAAATCTCGTCGGAGACATTCCGTTTGTCTTGTAGACAGCATTAAGTACAGTTGTACTACAACAAAGATGCAATGACGAGCCCCTTAAAATGGTTGCCGTGCGGATCATTACCTAAGACTAGCCTAAGTAAATTAGCCATGCAAATTAAAATGCAGTTCACGCAGCCCTCGTATTTGCAGCAGAACAGCTGTCCGACAAAGAAAAGGGAGAGTAAGCGAGAGAAAGAGAGAGCACAACAATAGTCATAGTTGCGTCAAAAGCTTCTGGCGCTAGCATCGGTATGCGTGTGTGTGTGTGTGTTTCGATGCATGTGTGTGCGAAACGCATACGCCGCGTACGCTCAGTACTTCGAATTGCTCACTAGCTGCTGGCGGCGCTGCGCTCGCTCAATTCTGTTGTTCTCACTGCTGCTGTCAAAGTCTAATCTACTGTCATAGGCACTCTAATAAATATATTATTATAAATCACAATAGCATAGTATAAAGCTGTGCGAATTTGACGTGCGCGCGCTCTTCGCTTTATAAATCCGCTGGCCGTTTCTCAGTCGTGTGTACCGTTAGCATCTGACAAGCGGTAAAAAGCGCGCGTCGTGTTTAACATCATATCAGAGTTTCGCAAATTTTACATCATGCCAAATACAAAATGCTCAGGCGACATGGAGGGTGCGTATTGTTTGCTGTTATATGCGGCATCCCCACTGTGTGTGTGTGTGTGAGTGTGTGTCGTCGCGCATTTTGCCTGCAAGGCTGAATAGTCATTTCACGGCCATTGCAAAAACCCCCAACCATATGAACAGCTGTTCGGCTTGTGTCGTGATAAAAGCTTTTGGCACGCGCCTGCCTGCATGCTAGACTATTTTGTTAAGGTACACCAGCACAGTCGCGCTCAGAGAGAGCGTCGCGTAAGGCTTTATCAGGCAACGTAAGCTTTTAATTATTATTGTTGGCACTCTGAGCGCAAGAGAGCAGACAATGTTGCCAGACTGCATTTCCGGACCAAGGATCTTTCTTAAGGCACAACAATGGAATAAATCGCTTTAATTTAAATTGTATTAACACATAGTTAATATTGCCTGCCTTTGAAAATCTTTGAGCATTTTTCCAAATTTTTGAAATATATCATGTGTATTCGCCTCGATCTGGCCACAATACAGCGATTGCTCACTCACACAGGTTGCGACAGCAATATATCAAATAATCACATGGCTGCTTGGGGTGGCTTTGCTGCGGCGCTCTCTTTCTCTCTCTTACACACACAGGCCCATACACATACTGTTGCATGTTAAACACAAACAAGCTTTTTCTCTGCCTGCGACAGATGTATGAATGAATATTTGGCGCGTGAGTGTGAGAGAGCGCCAACGAAAGCATTACTGCTGCTGTTGCTGCTGCTGCTGCTACTGCTGCGGCTGCTGCTGCTGCTGCTACCATCGCCTGCTTACATGTACACATTTCGCTCTCTTACACGCGCTCTCCCACTCTCTATCTCTATTCCCCCATACAAATACACATACACATAGCCATGCCAGAGCGAATGCGGCGACGTCGCTGCCGCTGCTTTTGCAAAAAAATTTTTATAATAAAAACTTGTACTCGTAGATTGTGTGATGCCAGTACGTTCTGCTAATCCGATACGCGCTAGAAGTTTGATCCGAGACAATTTGGAGAAACAGGCTGGTTGTCTAAATCTAATACACTCCAGAATGCCAAACATTAAAGTGTTTTCGGGCACCTCGCATCCGGATTTGGCGCAGCGTATTGTCGATCGCCTTGGCATCGACCTGGGCAAAGTGGTCACCAAGAAGTTTAGCAATTTGGAAACATGGTGAGTACCAAACAAATCGCGTGCGCCAGCCGTTCATTTTAATAAAAAATCAACAACCAAAATTGTGTGAAATGTGACACCACAAAATGTGGCAAAAGTGCACAAAATACACTTTTAACTGTGCCCGAGTGTTCGTCCAGTCAACGCGTTCCTTGACATTCGCCGAAGGTTGCTCTTGATACGTGTACCATGTGTTTCTTCTGCCTGCCTGCCTGCCTGCGTGCCTCTCTGCCTCTCTGCCCGTCTGGCTTCTGCCTCCTGTGCGGCTGCATTTTAGTGTTTTTTTGGCATTTACATTGTGCATTTTGTTTAATGGATTTCTTAAAACATTTCGTTTTGTGCTTTTTATTTTTATTGATTTAACAAGTGGACTGTACACCGTAGTCATTGCTTGCTTGCCGTGTGTTTGTGTATGTATGTATGTATGTATGTGCGACTCACGCACACACACACACGTACGCACGCACACACACACACACACACACACATAAAACACAAACACAGACAATCGAACTCACAAACACCAAAACGAATGCGCTCTGGCAACACCGCCAATGTCGCGTGCAATTTGTAGCCGACAGTAAAATAAAAATAATAAAAAATACTATAGGGCAGCATATGAATTTTAAAAAATTTATTTAATGCATAATTAAATTAGCACATGTGCTTTTTTCTAGTCGCAATCGCGACTCGGCTAGCGGCCCAGCTTCAGCTTTGCTTTACACAAACATACAAACACAGAAACGCACACGCACACACATGCTCACAGCAGAGCAAGTCAGCTGCTGCTGCTGCTGCAACAACAACAACAAATAATAATAAAGTGTCTCTGGGCTGGCGCCTTATCAACGCACACAGCTACAAACAAATGCCGAATACACATGCAAAGGGGCCTAAAAGAATTTTAATGGAATTAAATAAACGTTGAAAAATGATACAAAAAGGTAAATTAGCAAACAATTAGAGTGTAAGGCAAAAGCAGGCGAAAGAAGTGAGGCAATGGCAAGAAAAATTAGAGGTTATAATATAAATAATGCGCGCTAAGCTTTTCGACATGATACGCGCTTGCCAAATGAGCATGAGTATTCCGTTTGTGTATATGTATTGCATACATATACGCACGCTTGTGCATGTATTTTGTTATGCTCCCGCACACGCACACACATACTCAGCGATACGCAACTCACACAAAGGTAAACTCCAAAACAGAAGAAACGGCGGACGCAGACAGCAAAAGCAAAAGCAAACCACAACACGACACTGTCACGTTTTTTTTTTTGCCATCCACTGAGCTGGCCAAAGAGAAAGAGAGAGAGAGAGAGGGAGAGCGAGAGCGCCCAAAAGAGAGCCACTCATAAGTCAGGCGACGACTACGTCAACGCCGCCCCCACATCTTCATGTTTCTGCCGCGTTGTGCTCACGCGTTTGCTTGCTCTTTTGCTCTTTCGTTCTCGACAGCGCTGCGACGGCCCCCACGTGTGTGTCGTAAACGCAGACACAACAACACGGTGGTTGTCCCAATTGTTGTTGTTATTTGTGCTGCGCACTTGTCGGCTTGTTGTGGCTCTTTCTGCTTTGCTCTCGCCGAACGCT